AAGAGAGCGCGTAAAACAAAACAAAAAAAAAAACAAATAAATAACAACGTCGTGTTACAAACGTGTTTCCCATTTTATTTCACCGCCTCCACCCGCCCCCTTCCCTTTTTTATACCTCTTTTCTCGTGAATGGGAAGGACGAGTTGCTCCCATTGATTTGCCTCAACGTCACCTGTTTCCATCCTCCCCCTCACCCCCCCCCCCCACCTCTCACCACCATTAAATTCTCAGACTTCCCCTCAAACAAAAACAACATTCACTCCTTGCCGGCGTTAAATCAAATTTCAAAGAAAAAAAAGAAAAAAAAACAAGAATAGAAAAAAAATTTGTCGTCAAGCTTCATCCATTTTCTCTCATCAATTTTTCCTACTTCGTGAAGTGTTGGAAAGGGCACGACACCTCCAAAGAAGGGGCACACAAGAGTGTCACAAGTACATGGTCCGCAACAGCACATATCCATTGAAACCCGTGAAGAACGCCACACAAAAAACAAACAGCGGAAAAGACGAAAGCGTCTACAACGCCTGCAAAGCCATATATAAATAGAGAGACAAGGAAGGAGCTGTGGGACAAAAAAACAACAACAACAAATGAAGTCAGAAAGCAAAAAAAAACAACTCCACAACAGCAGCAATGCGTAAAACCAAAAATAGGAGAACAAAAAAGATGTGACTAGCGACATAAATACATGTAAATATACAAATGTCCACGTAACACCTTTTTTTTTAAAAAAAAAGAAAACACCAAACGCAAAAGAAAAAAATACCGCGGAACACAAAGAAAGAAAAGCTGCGCTGAATAAAATTCAAAGCAACATGCAAAAACAGTTGCATCAATACTCTCATGGTTCCAAAAGCTCCCGTTCAAAGCCGGAAAAAAAACAAGAACAATTGTTTTTCACAGCCTTCATGATCATGTCGCAGAAAAAAGAAAAAAAATCGACGTTGGGAACACGAGGGAGTACCCAAAAAAAAAAAAAAAATACATATCCGTCTCAGTTTGTGCGTCAAGAAAAAAGTATGCGCACTCGACATGCAAAGGCAGAAACGGTCCGTACTTTTCGCATGATTCCAAAGGCGTTAGTGTGCAAAAAAGCAACCAAAAGAACGCAAACAGGAGGAGCGAGGGCAGGGCAATGCGAAGGGAAGTCAAGTCCACCCCCACCCCCACTCCACACAAACAAAAAAAAGGAAAGAAATGTTGTAAATCAAAGAATTAATTTAAACCAAAGAAAAAAAAGAACGAAAAACGAGGGAGGAAAAAAAAATTAAATAATAACTAGGAATGGTAAATATATGAAGGCACAGCTGGGAACGCGCGCCGCCGTCCAACGGAAATGTCAATAGCACCTTGCCTTTTTTTTTTTTTTTTTACATTCCTGTAGTTTTTGTCCTTTTCGCTTTGTGTGTTCAAAAAAAAATCTTAAAGATCACTGTACAACACAAAATGAAACACATCAGCAAAAAAAAAAAAACATCAAGTAACAACGACATCGATCCTTTTAAAGTTCATCCCATTTTTTGTTTTTGCCCTTGTTGCCGCTCAAGTACTTTCGTTTACTTTTATTTCAGCCCTTTTTTGTCTTCGGCGTCTTTTTATGGTGTTTCCCTCTGGTTTTAATTATAGCCCTGCCGAGCGAAGTCCATGCATTGCCCACCTACCTGCCACTGCTGGTTGTCCATCCCTAGTTTCACCTCCTGCAGTGCATCATTTCTTCAGGATGCACAAACACTTTTCACCTTCGCTCGCCTCTTATTTTTCCACATTTGCACCCCCAAAAAACTCTTGAAACTTATCGATAGACTTATAGGGATTGTGGCGGTAAACGCGAGTAGACCTTTCCATAGAACCTGAAGGTCTTTCTACATCCTTAGCTTCACCAATGACGCCACGACACACTGCAAAACTAGCCTCGTGGCCAGAGTTAAAAGGCATCTGATAAGAAGCTGACGCAGTGGAAAAAACCGATAAATTTCCGGTACCCTGCAAAGATGCGGGAGGAGAAACGGTGAGACCATCTAAGCCCCCCAAGAAACTTTGCCCGCTAGATGCGTCAAACGCCTTGTATGGAGCGGAAGAGATGTTGTTCATACCACCATCAGAGAGCGGTAGGGCTCCATGTAAGTCGTGCGACAAAACCAATGAGAACATCATGGGCGTTTGAGTTACCGGAGTATGGGCTCCAAGTGCAGAAGGTTGTACATATTTCGCCTTCCTGGAAACATTTTCCTCCCTAAGACTATCATTGCCGGCACCGGAAAAATCTATGCTCTTCGTAAAGCTCTTACCCAAAGCGGTGAGGGGCAAAGACCTTGCACCTCCAATTGACGATTGAGAGGCATTCATACTGAAGACAGTCGCCTCTCGTGGTTCCCCATTGAAAGGCAAAAAATCTGAGGTTTGTGTGTTGGAAAGCAGCTGGGAAGCAACATCTTCCTTCGGCGAAGGACATCTATGGGAAAGCAAAGACGAATTTATTTGGTTTGTCCATGGTGCTTGAAAGTCCAAATTATCCATTTTCAAAGGATCTGCGGAGGCATAAAACCGTGACATCATCCGTGCAGGGGGACGTTTAAAGTCACTCGCAACATTCGGGTCCACGTAAACTGCATGAATAAAGTCACAATTTTTACCGCGGTTGCATATCCTATCACAGTAATAGTGGGCACAGTGAGAAAGAGACCGAGTGGTGTCCTTTCGGTACAACAACGCTCGTCGAGTCACGAGAATACGTTCACTTGGAATCAAATCAGGCTTTTTACTCTTGTTCCGCGAGTACACCTCAAGTACATCACCCGGAGGAAGCCGCTCATAAATGCAGAGCTCCTCGTCACGCCAGATATAGTTCACATGGATGGGTTTGGATTCCAGCGTTAAATAGTCCACATTCGCGTGAACAAAGCGACAGTTTTCTCCCTTTGAACACGAACCCCACTCGTTTGGTTTGTAGCTACGGCACTTAACGAGTCGGGAAATATTAAGGCGTGCCGGCGGTGTGTGCACCACCAGGTGAGACGGCATCAGGTAGAGAGTCTTAAAATCGCAGTCAAACACTTCCAAGAGGTTTCCACCTGTTTTGTTTGGAGCAGACTGTTTTGACGGCATGGCACCTACTGTCTGCCTGGGCTGTGACTTGTGGTGAGACAAGAAGAAAGCGGGCTCTTTTCCTTTACGTTAGGGGCTGTGGTTAGCTCCTCTGCGCAAAGAACAGCAAAGAACAAAGCAACACAATAATAATTAAAACAAAAACAATAAACGAAAAAAAAAAAGAAAAAAAGACAGGCAATATATAAATGTATGAGTTTATAGGTGTTGATTCCCCGGCCCGAATAGTGAAGAAACACCGCAACGAAGAGGATGGGAATAGAAAAAAAAAAACCATTTTTTATCGTTTTCTTGTTTTTCTTTCCTTTTTTTTTTTACTTTTCCCATTACTTTTGTTCTCTTCGTCTCTTCTTAAATGAGTTCAAAAGCTCACACTCCGGCCGCCGGTGTAAAACATGTCGGCCCAGACCAAGTAGGGACGTTCCCACCGCCACTTAGCAGCAGCATGGTGCGGAACAGCACAGCTGACGACAAGGTAACGCATGCCCCCAGACCTTATGATGTAAATGCCGTGTCCCAGCAAGACGCGGCTGGTCTGGAAGCTAGTCCATGCTGTGGGCCCCAGACTAGCAACAATCAAGTGGGGACAGCACAGCTGGTTCTCGGCCTCAAATGAAAATGCGAGGCAATAGAGTCCGGTACCACGATAAGGTATCTCCAACACGACATCACCGTGGTGTCCAGCTTCTAACGCCCCACAAAGTCACTGAAAAGCTCGTTTGACGTCGTATGCGCGTCTGCTTCACCAAAGCGTAGTGGTAGCAATCAGAAGAGGAAAAAAAATCTCGGTACAAATAAAAAAAGAAAAAAAAAGCACAAAGGAAACACAAAAGACGAAGAAGAGGCACAAAAAAAAAAAAAACAAACAAATGAAGAAAATGTGTAGTCGTCTTACGAAAAAAAAACTGTAAATTTCCTTCCATTACAACCTTTTCCTTCCTTCTTATCCATGCTCCTCTTTTTATGCTTTGTATTCGTGCGGTTCCGTGTTGGTCCTATTATTTTATAGCCACTTTGTACAACAAACGCATAGACATATGTAAAATATGCACCTTATATATATATGCGTTCTTTCAAAACAAAAACAAAAACAAAAACAAAAACAAAAAAAACGCACACACACACAACAAAAAAAAAAACACGATTGGCGCACGCACCCACACGTACAGGCGTGCAACCATCAAGCTACTCACTGCATCCTTGTTCTCATCTCAAAAGAAACACGAATCCAAATTTCGGTGCATGTGGTGCAGCAAAAGAAATACCTAACGCATACACATAGCAATACTACTCAGTCACAAAACAACGAAAATACAACAGTAACAGCTACTACCACAGGAGCAAACACAAACACACGTAGAAGCAAAACCGTATACATATATATACATATATATATATATATATATATATATATGTATATATATCTGTGTGCACATACGCAGATTTACAGCAGGAGATGGGTCGTGAAAGCAAAACAAAAAATAAATAAAAAATAAAGAGAAAATTAAACCAGCATCAACCGTCAAATAAAGGTTCTAAATAGAGTGGTAAGGATCATGTCTGTACACACGGCAAGTACGTCGGTCCAAAGGACGTCCATTATGTTGAACCTCAGGCGCGGTACGCAAAGCGTCATCGCCATTCATCCATTTTTCCACCTCCTTTGCAATTTCCTCACCTGATGAACTGCTGTATGGTCCCTCACCGCTCCCCTCCATGGAACAGTTCAGTCCCCTCCACGAATTCGGGCCCTGACCAACGAGAGTTGACAAAAGAACCTCACCAGTACCATCAGATTTGGAAACTCCACCCACCATGGAAAGGTTTGGCTGCACATCGGTTAGTTCCTCCTTGCGAGAACGATGTTTGTGGTCGCCGTTAACGGCACTCCCAGTAGACGTTTTCAGCGCATATGGCACAAAATGGCGGTGCGAGCGACCCGTTGCACGCTTGTAAACCTCAGAGATGCTTGGGTCAACGTACACGGCATGAATAAAGCCGCAGTCTTCGCCACGGTTACACAGGTAATTAAAGTAGTAGTGTGCACAGTGCGAGAGTGTTTGGGACTTCATTTTTGATACTGAATACGCACCCCGAGTCGCAAGAATGCACTCGCTTGGAAACTTCACTGCAGGAGGCTTGCTATTCGGCAGCAACACTTCCACAAAACCACCTGGCGGTAACCGTTTGTACATGCAGAGCTCTTCATCACGCCATGTATAGTTCACATGAACCGCATACGCCTTCAGTGTTCCAAGGTCCACGTCCGCATGCACAAACCTGCAATTACTGCCCACTGCACAAGAGTCCGCCTCAAAACGTTTATAGTTCCGGCAAAACATCGCCCGCGTGGCCGCTGATTTCACAAAAGGAGCATGCACCACCAAGTGGGACGGCACCATGTAAATGTGAGTAAACGCTGAATTAATAACGGGGATGGAACCGTTTTTGCACTTCACGGCGGTCTTCACTGTACCTTCTTCTACGGTTTCCATTACGGTTTGCTTTTCTGTTTTTGTGTTCCTCTTTTTTCCTTATTTCCAAGAGAAAACGCGGTGGATAGCTGGGACAAAGAAAGGAAAAGAAAAAAAAACGCATAAAATGTGGAACAGGCCGCAATAAAAAACGGTGTAGAAAAGAAAACAACAGCTTCTTCCTTTCATCCACGCGTAATCCAATCCAGTGCAAGAAGTAGCTCATATACGAGTAACGGAACAGTGTGTGGCAACTCACTGAAATTAGAAAATACACCAAAATACGCAGCTGGCTGAGGTCTAACGCATCCTTCCTGTAAAGTGAAGGAAAAAAAAAACACACAGTTTGGTCTCGTTGCGCTCAACATCATTCCCCACGTACGAGGTGATTTATCCCTCATCTCCCTCCACAGACACACACATAAATCCATCAACAATAGTAATTCACAATATACGTTTTAATGTTAACCGGGCTCGTTGGAAAGCTATGAAGTGGTCGCCGTTAGTGCCCCACAACTGCCGGAAACCTCCATGTGGAGACTGCTAGTACAATTGGTCGGGGTTATTGGGTGGGGAAAGATAAAAACAAAACACGGTGTGCACGCGCACCACATTCCAACGCGGTATCGTTAACAACACAAGTAATAGGCAAAAAAGAAAAAAAACAGGGATATCTTAAACAAGAAAGTCACGCGTTTACTTAGTATCATATTTTGGTCGCACCTTCCCTTCACTAGTTTCCACAATAAGATAGCAGGCAAGGCGAAAGCGGTGTCTGCCAACAAAAACAAGACAAGAAAAACGTGTCCACCTCAATCAAATGCAAGGGCATAACAACCACAAAAAAAGAACATGTTGGAGTATTCCCTACACAAGTTCCTCGCGTATTTGAAGGTATGTGCCCAGTCACAACTTATTTTTTTTTTTTGGCCGGTAAATCTATACCGTGTAGTTTTATTTTAAAATTCTTCTTCTATACTCCGCTTTTTTGTTGTTGTTTTTTTTGTCTTCGCCTTCTTTCTACATTATATATCCTGTTCCTCACCACCTCTACCTTTGAGGTGGTTGGCGAAACGGAGAAACAGTGAGAAAAAGAATATTTATTCACTTCTTTGTTTTACCGCTGCATAACTTATTGCATTTGCGGAAAAATTTGTCCCTGTTACTCTTCTCGTTCCTTCCGCAGAGATACACACTCCAACTATTCGCTTAGAGTTAATATATATATATATATATGTGTATTAATTGATGTAAAAATAAAAATAAAAAAACGATAACGTAAGAATGGGGTGATGGCAGTGACAAAGAGAGATGTAGTATTACACCCACCAACTGCAACACGGCGCCACCGTTGCCCTCCCAACGTGCGCACGCACACGTACGAAACTGCACGTCCACGCATGTGCACGGAGGTTCAGCCAGCGATGACGCAAAATAAACCTTACGGCATAACTGCACGCACACACAACATAAAAATCAAACAGGAAAAAGAGCACAATATCGGTATGGGTAATAAAATAATGAGCCAAAAACAAAAAGAGGGAAAACGATACAAACAACAGGGAACGAGGTAGGAATTCATCTTAACCCCGTTCAATGTCCTTTTCCCTTAACAACTTCTCGGTTGGTTCTTATTTTGGTTTTATTTCTCATTCCATGTTCTCTCGTACTTCGCGGGCCGTTGACTCCCCACCCCGCTCGTGTAGCTGTTGTTCATTCCCCAACCCCCAACCTCGCACAAGGCCGGCATTGGAATGGCCGCCGCCAAGCACACACACCTGGAAGTAAGAAAATGTCTTAGCAACAACATTTACATGCGTGTGCAATATGTGTGTTTTTTTTTTACTTATTACTTTTTTTTTTGGTTTTTCACCTGAAAATGGGGGCGGTAAGGCAAGTGGGTTTTCTCCTTCCTCGTGAAAAGCGCACACCCACATGCTACCAGTCTACTCCTCCTCTCTTTATCCCTGCATCACATCAATCGTACGCCGCAATAAAGTAGGCTCCCTCCCCCCAGGGAGAGGGGAGGGTACCAGCAAGCGTGGCGTATAAATATACAAATATATACGTAAGATACACCGTCAACAGTGCAGGACCATATTATATATATATATATATATATATATATATGTAGATGTACGTATCTGTGTATGCGTGTACGTATTTACATGTACGGCTAGGTGTGTAACGGCAGAGAAACCAAGAAATCGATATACACAAAGAGATGGTGTGGAAAAGAAATAAGCGGCATACATCAAAGTACATTTTCCATCATCTTTTTTTGTTTTATCTTCTTGGCAACTTGTCAAGCCACAACACAGACCACAAAAAAAAAAGCAGTGACGGAAATTGCGTAAAGAAAGTGACAGCGGGGGAAAAAAAAAGCATCTGCACTAATAGATAAGATATCAGTCAAAATAGAAATAGCAGCCGCCCAAACAAAAAAAAAAAACACACCTGTCCAACATATATAACACATTTTTTTTTTATTTTGCCTTGTTCCATGTATATGGGCCGTAGCTCTTCATTTTCACTGCATAGGTAAACATAAATGCAAATATATAAATAGAAATATGGACAAATATGGAAGGGAAAAAATACAAGAGAAAACACGGCAATGCTAGATGCGTACAGGCACGGCAACCATAACACTCTTTCAAATAGAGAATAAAAAACTTCGCCATACAGCACACGCACACACGCTTTGGCTCTCAAATATATATATATATTTCCCCAATCCCACTCACTTGTTGTTTGCTCATTGTTCCTTGGCGGACATGTTCTTTCCTTCCCCTCTTCCAGTCTCATAGACAAAGTATTGATTGTTATGCATCCGTGCACGTGCACGAATGTGTATACGTACATAAATATACATCCCACCCACGCCTCTTTGGACCTACACACACAAAGACCGAAATAAAACAAACATAAAAAATAGTAAAAAAAAAAAAAGTAACAACAACATTACCAGTACGTAGAAGCACAGTAAGTTGCATATCACTGTTTTGCTTCGTTTTTTTTTTTAATTCTTTTTAAGAGGGCAGAGGTGCCTTCTCTCCGTCTGACCAAATAGAGCAATCCAGGTTATCCACAAATGTCCATTCAATTGGATTCGTCACCCCACTGGAGCTGCTGCGCGCGCTGGCACCTCCCACCGACGGCACTGAGCAATTCGACAGGCGTGTGGCATTCTGAGGTACTGCGAGGTAAAAGTTTGAATTGGTGGATGACACAGTGTTGGCTGCAAAGTCAAAAGACTCAGGAATATTGTTGTGCCCCACTGAACACGGTGCCATAGCGGTTTTCTTACTGGTTTCAATGGCATCCCCCTTACTCAATCCATCGGAACGTTCTGAGGCAAGTGGCTTTGCGTGTTCATTTCGTTTCTTGATTGGCGCAATGGAGTTGCACGCCGGGGCACGCTTAAAGTCCTCCTCCACATTCGGATCAACATGAATGGTGTGAATAAAGTTACAGTTCTCACCTCGGTTGCATAGACGGTTGAAGTAGTAGTGGGCGCAGCGAGAGGGTGGTCCGGCGTGAGTTTTCCGGTTGAGACTTCCTCGGGTAACCAAAACGCGCTCACTCGGAAACGTCTCCGCAGGTTCTCTGCCATTTGGTGCCAGCACAACAATCATTTCTCCAGCTGGGAGACGCTGATACGTGCAGCGCTCCACGCTTCGCCAAGAGTAGTTCACGTGAATGGGACACTGTAGTGCGCCCATAGGGTCGGCATGCACAAACTTACACATGGCACCCTTCCAGCAGCTATCCGGATGACCAGGGACATATTTTCGACAAAGAACCAACCGTGAAACACCCAATGACGAGTGTGGCAATTGCGTAATAGCAGAGACTGGAAGAGAAATAATACAGGTAAAGTCAGGGGCATACACCTCAACATGTGGTTCACCATTGACGTTATCCATCTTCTCTTTACCATTAATATCAGTCGTGTTGTTTACAGGCGCGGGAATTTGGCTGCTGCCGTCATTGCTTAAAAAATTGGCAAACTGTGATGTCGCCAATTTATTATCACCTTGCTCCAATGGTGTTGGGGGTAAATAATAGGCAAAATGCAATGGCGACTGAAAAATGTGCGTGTTAGGTGATGCGACTGGGGAAGCCAGATTCTGGAAACCAAGTACTGCTGGTTCACCCACAAATCCTACAGGCGTTAACGGGGAGAAGCCTCCTTCTGCGACATCCCTCGAAGTCCCTTCAACCGAAAAATTCCCACTGCTGCTACGGCTATGGGACGTGTTGAAAGCCTCGCTCGTAAGTAATTGTGGTGCATTTAAGGGGCTTGGGGACGCCAAGACTACTTGCTGGACGGGTACGCATGGGATTGGCTGCACATCGCCCACATTTACCACAAACACGGTTTGTTGCTGCAGCGGCTGGTGAAAAGGAGCAATCACCGTATTGATGGGACTATGGGGAGCCAATGATAACACAGGAGCAGGGGAAGCATGTGCAACAGAAGCGGCATTCCCAGCTGAAGACATATTCGTCGCAGGCGTAACACTTTGATTTGCAATACACGTGGGCAACCCTCCGGAGTTGGTGCGCAGCGCCTGGCTGTGAGGTGTAAAAGAGACCGAACTTCTTCTCAAGCTGCGTGATGAGGGATTTATAGCTGAACCAAAAAAACGTGACTTTGTATTCCCAGCGGCAGTGGTCTCACGCGTGTTTTTGTCACCAAAGTGCGCCTGATACATAGCATCCCTGCAAACCCCATTATTATTGGGAGTGCACATGCTTGAAGTTCGCTGATTGCACCTAGTACGCCTCCTCTCTCTCTCTCTCTCTCTTTCTCTTTTGCAAACGTTCTTTTACTGTTTTGTTGCTGTTCTTTATGTTTTATGGTGGATTTGCGAAGTCTGTATTTCGTCTCTTTTTCTCACAATACCACCGGCTACCCCGCTTTAGCTCCAAAATGCGGGTAAATGTTTCTTTTTTACTTTACTTTTTTTTTTCTCCTCCTTTATCCAAGCTTCTTTTCGCGTCGCTTCCGGTGGGTACAATGTAGTATTGTTTCCGTCCTTGGTCGGGAGAAGCGAGGTAGACAGTGACTAGTCGTCAACGCTCGGCACCTCAACGCCTCCCAAGCCTGCAATAGAGCGCAGTGGCAGAAGCAGCCTCGACGAGTTCCGGTGTAGCTTTCAGGGGAGCACCGCGGATGCAGCTGTCACAAAGGCGGAGCACAAGTGAGAGCGTAGCGCACACACTAACGACTCAACAACAACGAAAACGTCAGGTGGAAAAAAACGGGGGCCAACGAATTCGCCAAAGTAGATTGTTAAATGAATGTACAGAAGAGGTGCGGTTCCCTCAATACTTCCTTAGTGAGTCCTCTCCTGAGCAGGGACGGACTGCCAGACTTGGGAACTACGGGTGTAACTGACTCCGTGCAATCGCAATTCCTCTCAGCGGTGGTAAAGTTCTTCACGCTCTGTAGTCAAGTTTTACTTCCACAGAAGTACAGCGAAAGAAAAACAAAAGAACAAAAAAGGAAGAAAAAAAAAGAAGATGTCAAGAAGACGAAATGAATCAACACCCGCACATGAACTGGGCAACGGCACAGAGGCCATCGATGGCCCCACACCGACAAGCAACAAATACACAGACATAGGGATAAAAAAGAAAAAAATCAAGCGAACATAAAAAGAAAAACAATTGATGAAAGCAAAAAAAAAAGCGTCTTTTTTTTTTACAGTCATAGCTCAGGAGTAAATATATGCCCCAGTGGAGGCCTCCCCCGCCTGTCATTCATTTCCTGCCATCATTTTTGCCGTATGTGGTTTGTACGGCCATCCTCAAAATAATAAAAAAACTAGATCAAAGGAATGCATGCGCACAAAACCACCCTTCGTTCCTATCCTCACACCATGGCTTGAGCATTTCTTTTTTTTTTTTTTTTTTTGCTTCTTCCTCTTCCAGCTCCGTCGTTTCATCCCTCGCTCATTCGTGAACATTTAGAGGCTCCATGTACACAACTCCATGGATGCACACGTGATGGTGCCAACATTGCAGTGAACACAAGCTCTCAGCATTCATCGCAACTGCACAGCCGCTCCCCGCTTCCCGTCCACTACCATGCATGGCCCCGAGGGAGAGTTACGATCCCTCCTTCACAACGGAGGCCCCTGACAACTTATCTTTTGCCGCAACATCAGCGTCGGTGGCCGCCCGAATACGAGCAATCAACACGCTTGTGGAGATGCCCTCGGTGCGGGGGGCGGTTCGCAGAATTCCAAGTTGTCGTGGAATGGTGTAAAAGGTGTCATCAGGTCTATCGTACTCTGTGCCGCACACAACAACGTGAATGTTGTACCGCTTGATCATCTCCGCCGTCACACCTGTGACCGGACTGTTGGGGATAACCTGCGAGACAAACTTGCACAGCTGCACCTCATTGACGCGTTCCTCCGTTGTCATGATGGGGCGTCGCTTATAATTTTCACAATCCTCGTCCCCGCAGACGCCAACAATAAGACGGTTTCCGTGACGCAATGCCTTCTGCATAAAGCTTTTGTGCCCCGCATGACACAAGTCAAAGACACCATCGCAAAAGACGTTCTTCACCGGTACAAATAGCGGAATACGAGTGGAGTAGGAAAGATCCACCAGCATCCCAATTATGTACAAAACGGAGGCAACAATGGAAAAAAGGTCATTAAACACAGAACCAATACAAATAAACAAAACAGCGGCATGTACACGACGCATGGCAACGTTGCTGACGTGCACCTCTATTGAAAGAAGCGCAATCACCAAAGCCCCACTAATAACGCTGAGAGTGCTGTGATGATACAGCGGAAACAACTTGTACACAGGCACAAAACGAGCAAGCAGACAAAGCGCTATCCCACTCTTGTACTTACGCTTCATTTTCAGTAGTGCCACATTCAAAAAGCTTAACACCACCAATATCAAAAACCCGTATTTTGGAAAATTGGAAGTGAATAGCAAATAAAATCCTGTGTCTGGATGAACAAGACGGACAATTAAGGCACATAAGATCAATAAGGACAACTCCGAGTCACGAAAACAATACGTTAGATGATACGCAAGGTTCTTCGCCTTCTCCCGCTTTAGGTTATCTGCATTGATACGACTAAGCACCGTGTTAAACTCTACCAGCTGCAGCGCCATAAGCAAATACCATTCCGTATGAAGATCTCTTACATTGAAGGCCTCCATGAGTGTCAAAGCAAAAAATATACGTGAAATACTACTACATACACGGGCAAAAATGTCACCCAGCGAAGTTGCAGATCGAAAGTGCTTTGCGTGAACCCCATCCAACGAGCCGCATACAAGGGACACAATGCATAATAAACACGACAGTAAGATAGGACTCTGGTCTTGTAGGTTATCTAAATTATCTTTCCCTACATGGTACTGTTTGCCAATAATTTGGTAAGATTGCATAGAGCTTACCAAGCCTACGAGTGTGATGGCGTTGGGGGCCACCATCTCAGGCACCACGTGTCGACTCATTGCCAGCCAGAGTGGGTAAAAGATCACCGTGACAAGGCTATTTGGGCGTGTGTCAACGAACGTCTCCGCATGAGCGATGCGGTCCCTCTCAAGAGGCGTAAAGAAAAAGCTGTGGTCAATGAGATTAGTTGGCATATGCTTTCCAATAATGTGGCCCCATGCAAGACTAAGGTGGCCAGGACAAAACAAGCGGGAATGGAGCTAACGAAGATAGCAAGTATAAGACGCCTCCAACTAGCAAAGATAAACTAACAAAGACAATAGCGAGGAGGCGTCAAGAGGCTATGTGTGTTGTCCACCCACCCACACAAATGCATAAATAAACAACCTCACCTTATGTTACGTGTGGGTGGGTACAGTAAACGCTTCTCCTTACCTTTCTTTCTCTCGACCCCGACTCCTGTGTTTATCAACCGTGCGGAACAGTTAGCCAAATAACTAGAGCCAGTCCGGATGTCGAGTGTGCGTTAGTGCGTTGTTTGTCTCTTCCCCGTTTCTGTGTTCTTTGCTTCTTTTTCACCAAATGTTTATAGAATAAAAAACAACAACAAAAAACTAAAGAAGAATTTTTGAACCTACTTCTGTGCCTATTCTTCTAACTGTGTCTCTCCGCCGGCCTGGCGGTGTGCGTTAGCTGGGCCCGCACCTCCTCCTCTCTGTGCACCCGCGGTCATGCGTGTAGCAGACGGAGTGGCAGGACGACAGGCAGTACGCCGACACCATGCGGAAACGGAGAGAAAACCAAGAAGCAAGAGATACTTTGTAGATAGACCCAAAAAGACAACGGTCATACGTCAGCCGTCACACAACAAAGAAAAACATCAACAATGACATAATAACAGAAAAAAAAAAAGGAATATTTCGGTCTTCGTGCCACTCCCCGCTTCCGTCCACGGAATTAAACAACACCCGCATTCATTAGACGGCTCAAAATGTAAAAATGCCGTTCCCAAAAACAACGGGCAGGAATATTTTTTTTTCCTTCTCCTTCTTTTTAATAAAAATGTACGGGGCACGGCATAGCACACACTTAAGGCAAAATAAAAGAAAAGAAAGAGGGCGTACATCCTCACAGCGAAATGCAACAAGAGCATAAAAAAAAACGAAAAAAATGTACATAAGACGGTTCTCAGAGAACAATTTCACAGCAATAAAGTGCCTATGCACAAAAATTAAACGTATATGCTTTCACTATTGCGTGCGTGCGCGTGAATAACCAACCTTATCTTCCTCATAATTTTATTTTTTACGTTTTAATTTTTCTTCACTTTTCCGCCTTGCACCTTGCAAGGCTTCCCAGTTCTTCATACACTCTCACTGGCCCTTTCTCTCTCCTCCCCCAAGTCTCTTAACAGTGCCACACATGGGCGTGCATGGCTGTAGGGGCAATGTTTACACAGTGAAAGGCCAAATATATTTTTGAAAAAAAAAAAGGATTTATTCGCAAAACTCGTATAAATTCCACTGAATATATAACAATGTTCCTCTCCTCTTTTATGCATCATATAAAACAGAAACAAAAAAACAGGAAAAAAAAAAAAAACGAAACACGGCGGAAAAAACAAAACCGCCCCTCCCTTGCGGTAAAATGAGATACACTACTCACCTTTGTTTTTATTCTTATTATGCGCCTCGGGAAAAGCGAGAGAAATAGAGAGACCAGGGGGGATTCAAAAAAAAAAATGTATTGAGAAACATCTTTGCTTCAACGCCGCCTAATCCTCACCATTGCTGTCACCGCATGCTGTAGCTCACGCGCTGAATGTTCCCACACAGACCCAAAGGTACAGCCATTACCCTCCACCAGTTGTACGGTTCCTTCTTTTTCACCCCCACGTACGCGGTTAATGACACCGACTGAAAAACCTGCAACTCGATGAATCGGTTGTGTATCGTATCCCAGCATTGTCATGGTGACTGGCTTCCCTTTAGCCCTCTCGTCACAGCACGCTTCTATAAACGATCCTGCCGCCGTGACATCCACAACCTTGGCTTCAAGCGCAATCCCCAGTCGTTCAAAAGCGGTGTTGGCGAGAGCCACAATATGCTCACTTTCCAATTCCTTTGCAAGCACCGTGTAAACGGAGAAAGATGGCATTGAGTAGAGAAAATCCTCCGCCGAAAAAAGCACATTCTGGCCATCTGCCGACCTCCCGTTGCTCATCTCAGATGCGACCAAGGCGAGACAGTGAAACGCAGGCCAAACACTTGGTTTAAAAGGATGGTGCACGAGTGAATGACTCATATCATAACCATAGCAGTCAATGTACATATCTTTCTGCGAGTAAGCGGTAAGCATGAGTGTGCCTCTGGCACGTAGGGAGATCGGGTCCACAGCAGATAGAGCGGTAAAAAGCACATCCAATGGACACAACCAGGTTCTATAAAAGGATTCCTGGTTGGTGTCACTGAGTGTCACAAGAGAGTTTTCCTCATCAAAGTGAAGCACAATCGCATAGGAGCCACCGTTGCTACCATTCCACACTGTCTTATTAGCCTGTATAAGAGAAGTCTGAAAGTTTACAATCAGGCAACGTGACTTTGGAGATTGTACCGCAGATCGAATTTGTTGAAGCAGGCCTTTAATAGTGGAATGTGGTGCTCCCTTGTCCATATGTCTTGTAACGACACTCACACCGTCTTGTGCGTGCATGTGAGAGTAGTTGCGTGCCACAGTGGCCGCGTTCTCTAGTGGCAAATGCGCTGAAAGCATAAAAGAGATATGAAATCCACTGTAATTCATGACACTCTTCACATCTGCCTCAAATCCAAGACGATCAAAGGCATCAGCAAGAATGGTGACAACGTAATTTTTTGTCGGATACTCAAAGCGCAACTGCCTCTGCATCGGTGGAAGTGAATAGCAAGCTCCGCTCAAGACAGCCCTTTCAAACCCTGCGGCGTTTAACTGATCAATAATTTTCTGCGACTTGGCTGCTAAAATGTAGCCGTAGCCAATGACAGCGGAGTAGAGTCTAGTGATCGGCAAATGCCAGGTTTTACGGTACTTTTTCACGTTCACATCGGCCAGCCTCACTATGCCACGTTGTTGATCTATGCCAATAACAATGGCAAAATGACACGGTTCCGGTCGGTTGTCCACCTTGACATTAAGGGCAATATTTACGTCAAACCCCATAAGCATCACACTTTCACTTTCGACAGCAAGCTCAATATGCTTCATAAAAGCATCATCCGCAATATTTACCGGTCCATCCTCCGCTCCACCACGACGTTCTACAAGTACAACTCCAGTTGCAACGGTTTTTTCAAGCTTTAACTTCTTCAAAAGGACGCGATACCAGCTAAACGCAGAAGGAACAGAAGCCTTTTTACTTCCACCAACGATGGTTGTAATACCTAACCCAAGTTGTTGGCAAACCATCGTCACAGGGATACCTCGCAAAACCAAACCCTGAAAATTTGTGGCATTCTGTCGCTGTCGTTCCGTCTCATCAAGGATAACGTTTGTCACAAGGTGGTGCATAAGTGACAACCCAAGAATATGGGGGGCAATGGACGTATCAAGCGCCGTCAAGAGCATACCGCCAGCAAGCGAACCGTCAAGAAGGTTTAGAGGAAATATAGAGGGGACCTTCTCAATAAATTGATCACTGAGAAAGACACGTACAAAGCCTCGAGCACGATTACAGTAATTATCTTTAACGCACAACGCCTTATAGAGCACTTGAATAGGGACGGTGTGTTCCTCAATCACGATACGGCCATCCTCCAATAAGGTTGGTGTGCCCACGACAACAGAGTGCAGAGCAGGGCTAAAGCTAAGAACCAAACCAAATGCACCTTGATTATTTGTGGACCATCGTGGAGTAACTGATTCCATAGGATGTTCAGCTTCATTTAATTCCATGTAATTAAGTCGCATTCGTATTTCGTGTTGCTCAATCTGGTAGGGGTCAAAATTCACAATAGATAGAGATTGTGGATCATTGTTAGAAAGATCTTTACGAAACTGAGAGAGGGTCATGATGGGCGGGCGTTCTCCCACGCCCATGAAATCACCCAGCTCATCCCGCGTCTCGGTGTCAAAAGTTGCCACCTCGCAGCGTACACGCATTTCCCGCAACTTAGGATGGTTTGACAGAAATTCACTTGTGACGTCAAAAAGCTCCGCAAGCGTCACAGAAGGGAAAGAAACGTAGTGAAGTCCAAGACGATTTTGTCGAAGAATGTCTTCAATGGTGACGTGTTCGCCAGAAACGTAGCTGCATGCAATTGCAATACTAAGCAACCACGCACAAGGGGCACTGCGAAGCTCTGGGACGGTTTTTTTCTCGGGAGTTAATATCATTGGTTTCAAGAATTCCTGCAACTTCTGCTTTGCTGCTTCTGCCTTTCGCCGGCTACATAGGGAATCCGGTGCCTCCACATAAAATGATTTTTCTTGAAAGCCGACGCGTCCTGCTCCTCCTCCTCCTCCTCCGCTGCCGCTGCCGCTGCCTGAGATAACAGGAAGGAAAGAGGGAGATAAGGTGCCATTTGAAGCCGTCGTATCAGAAAAGTTTGCTGCACATAAACGTGATACACGCCCCATAGGAATCTTTGGTGTTTGCAAAACTGCATTCCCGTTTGAAGATGGTTGAGCGGAGGTCGAACGAAAAAAAGAGCTCTCTCCATTGTGGAAAGAAACACCATGAGAAGCAATTTTCTTGATATCCGTATGCATGACCTCTAACTTACTCTGAAGAGCCTCCAACCTGGCCTCTACACCTCCTGCATTAGACGACATGACTCCGAAGTGCACCTCTTTTCCGCTTCCCTTGTTCTCTGAATAAAGGCTGAATAGCAACATCACCCACAACCCACAGGCGGGGAAAGCAAGAGAAAAAAAAAAAGAGCAAGTGAAAGAGTATTGCAGCATATTTTTAACAAAAAGTGTGATTTGGCAACATCGTATATCCTCCACAGTTGTTTCATCCCAAATCCAACACAGCCCCATAGCATCACTGCGGACCTTGTTGTTTTGTTTTGTTTTTGTTTTTGTTTTTCTACTCCCGTCCAATTCTCCCATCTCGCTCAACACTCACTCCGACAAGAAAACAAAAGTAAAAAGAAGGCAGAAGACACATCCACGTTTTGAGAAAGGGGAATAGACAGTTAATCTGTTTCTCTGAGGAGCAGTTAGAAGTGTTATAATTCACATGTTACAATTAAAGCAACACAAAAGATAAGGGCCGCCGCCCCTAGAACGAGCACTGCAATACCAGACAAAGAGTGCCACTTGCATGGCTGCATAAAATCTTTTCGCCACTCAGAGTTCCACTCCCGGCGCAGGCTGGAGATGTCCGTGCCAAGTGGTATCTCAATATTCACAACACCCAAGTCGTCTTCTTCAGGCCTTTCCAGCGAAGCAGCCTGGCACCGCCTTAGCTTAAGGCCATTTACAGGCCCTGTAGCAATCAAACTTGTGTGGTTAACGGCATTCGCCAACGCTGGTGCCGTAGCACATGTAGAACTACTATCATAACGAACCGTCGATGGCGCATCGCGACGGTAGACAAGAAGCATTCCATGATGATAAACATCATCAAAAAAATAAAAATGTTTCGCTAGAAAAACACATGTAAATCCCCGTTTTACGTAGAACTTAAGCAAGTTTGTGTCAGATGCCAAACAATGCAACCACACCTCCCCCAAACCAACTTGATCCCCACTGCCGTGAGTACTGGCCGTGGGGCTGATGGCGTCGGAAGATTTTGTATATTTTAACGCTGTTTCAGTCGTGTCTTTTATCCCTGATCGCTCCTTACCAAACCACCACTGTGACAGCTTCGCCCCAACAGCAGTCAGCGTGGGGCCAAGTCCCCATAAAGTTTCGCTCCTGGGGCATGGAGGCAAGTGGTCCAGAAATAAGTGAGATGGAACGGGTATACTAAAAAGCATATAAGACAAGAAACGATCTAGAAGAACTTCCCCAATACCACGACGTTGTACTCGCTTTTCCACTGCAAATGACCCCAGGTACCCTGTCGGTGACCCCACGAGAACACCATCAAGTCGTCTCCCGTACGCAATCTGACCAATGCAAAATCCAACCATGACGGAGTAGGGTGAAGTGGGTCCATCACAATTCACGTCACTATCGCTATAACTATTTTCGGTATCCTCTTCTATCTCTGCACTTTGATCACTCTCTGCAGTACCCAGTAGAGATGTGATGCACTTTGAGGTGGTGAAGGCAATTAAGGCCAGGCATGAGTCAGACAGCAACCACTTGTAGTATTCATCGTTGTACTTCACAGGAAAAGCAGCAGCATGCAGGCCCTCAAGTGTGGGTAAATCATCTTCCCTAACGCCCCAACGCAGCTTCACCTTCATTGACACTCCGTCACGGGCCGGCAGTGCAACAATTTCCGGAGCACTCATCATGTCCTCGCCTAAATTTCTATTCTTATTTGTTTACGCCGCTTGCAATTAAGCAACAGAGCTCCTTCGAAAAAAAGAAAGGGTCACAAGACAAAAAAGATAAAAAAAAAAAGTAAAGATAAAGATAGCGAAACGGAAAAGTCGTTTGGTCTTATAATCCAACCTCTTGCAAAACAAAACAAAATTCATTATTCATCGCACAGTCCGGAGCTGCCTCTCAAGAAGCGTTATCAAATCACTCAATAAAACGAGGTGCTGAAGGGAAATTTTAACCCTCCACCCCGCGCAGGTCAAGGCGGAAAGGAGTAGAAGGTGTGAGCCTTCAGATAACCATCCCTTGCGTTACCTTTACAATGGTGATTCCAAAAACAAAAAAAAAACAAAAAACAATTATTACAGATGACTTTTATATTCGTGTGCTGAGCTATGCCTCGCACAAACCCCCAACAACAACAAAAAAAAAAGTGGACCTGGCGGGTCCCACGGCAAGGGTTCAACAAGGCTGAAGACGTAAAAAAAAAAAAAGACACGTGGAAGAAGTAGGGCACAGCGTTGTGGTCAAAGGTTCTCTCATCACAACATCAAAACGGTTTAAAGTAAAACAAAAAAAAATCGAGCCTATAAAATAAAATCACATGCAAACCAGCCACATCTCCATATCTTTGCCTTGATGTACAGCCTCAGTTTGTTTTCCACCCGTTTTATTTTTCTTCCCCTTTACAGAAGAATTAGAATACTCTCTATTCTTCTTCTTGCTTAGTCTTGCAACTCCATGCCGCCGCCCAAAGGTTGTAGGAGAAAAATTAATTTAGGCGTCCCACATCGTTTCGGCATGTGCGGGTATGTGGGACGCAGCTCAGGAAAATGGCGCCCGTACAACCAATAAGTCTTACAACAAAAACTTCGTCGGGGAGAAGCTTCCAGGCCACGGCGCTGTGATCTGGAAGACGCCAGCAGGACGGTGTTCCGGAGAGCAGGCTCTGCCTTGCCTCTCCGCCTTTCCCCTTTAAAATTCAGTTTGCACTGGACTCTCCATCAGTGGCATGCACTTGGGTCGGGGCCGACAAGACTGACTGTGATCCCCTTCTGCAACAGAATGGATGTGCCCGAGCATGAAACGCGTGGTGCCAACTCCATGCACGTGCTGGCCACTAACAGCTCTTGTGTTCAAGCATTTTACCTCTTCTAAGAGCACCCTAAATGTTTTATGTTGCACAAGAAGAGTGCGTTGGCAACACAGTAGCAATCACCTCAGGGTGTCGTACATGTCTTGTTCTTCACCCAGCAGTGCACTACAAAGTGTTGAACCTTCAGCACTCTGCCGAGTCAACGCAACGATGCTTCAGCACTGCCCCCTGGCATCACCCTTGGGGCAGGCAAGTGATATACTGCTAGAGACACTCCTTCTTTATTGCCCCACCTATTGGTGGTTTTGCGTTAATTCGCTTCACCTCCACCATTCTTTGGCGGAGTTCTACGTTTCTTCTTTGCCACCTACCCACTCACCATCAGCAGAGTGAGCTGATCAGCAATGGATACGCCTGTGCGTGTACACGCACCCATATGTATGGTATTTTCCCTCCTTCCCCCTCCTCCTCTTATCCTCCTCTTTTTTTTGTTGTTGTTTTATCAACGCATTCGGAGTTAGATGAATCTTTGCTTATGTCATCTTTTTCTCTCTTTTCTTCTCTTTTCATTTTTGCCTGTGTCTAGATCGTTTTCTTTTGTGCTCAGTTTTCAATGTAACTTTCGTCATTCCTTTCCCAACCCCCATTTTTAATTATTTATTATTTTTTTTTTTTTGTGGCGGATGAAGCAAGCGTGGGATCGGACTGAAACACCCACGGGGGCGGACGAAAAGTCTCGTCCTGGCGTTTCCCCACCTACACGCCCGCCTTCCCGCTCCAACACACGCCGTGCGGCGTATGGGGACCCCTGATACAACAAAAAAAAAAACAATCAAGACGTAAAAATATACATATATACTTATATTTACGGAAACGTAAAACATGTAAATGAGACGGTGGCCTCGCCCCTTAAGAAAAAAAAAGACCTCTCTCTCACCCAAAACACTCAGTCGTTTGCCGTTTATTTTTTTTTTACTCCACACACACACCCTCGTGTTTTGGCAGCCCCATCCTCTCTACCCCTCATGCAGACGCACCGACGCAACGGGAGTCAAGGGGAGAGCCTCGAATTCTACTCGGAGGCGCGCCATGCCTTTACATTCCGTGTCAAGTACTCAATCACAAAAAAACACGCCACTGTGTGTGTCGCACATCGGCAGAAGTACGGAACAAAGGAGTCATACATTGCCAACACGCCCTCCTCACGGGCAATGCGGGAAATGGCTTGTACAACATTCGTATACTTCACTTTGGCGACTTGCCCTTCGGGCGTTTTGCCTTTGCGAGCCTCAGACGACATGCGTACACGTGCCATCTCAACCGGCATTGTACAGAAGGCGTAGAAGAGGGCCGTACAAATGCTGGCCGCATTCACAACAATGTTGTCACTGTACGGGGTAACACGCTTCCGCTCAGCTTGTTGTTTGTTTTGGCGACGCAGAAAAGTAAGCACCTGGTCGTGGACAGCCACCTGGCACACACCCACAAGGGCTGCACGCGAGGCAAGAGCTCCAATTCCGCGCCAATATCCAGCAATGCCGTTCGCCCCGTACACCTGCGCTGCTGCACCGTTGATTGAAAGCTTTGTCGGACTTGTTGTCTGCAGCACAAGGCACACTTCAACTGGAGAACTCAAAAAGCTCGCAAACGCCCCGGAAACAGCTCCAGCAATTGCTCGATCCGCAACTGTTGGGGATGCATCCGACCCAGCGCCCTTCACAGACATGATGGCATCGCGAAAAATAGGGTAACAACCGAGACGTGCAGGGGCATACACCACCTGACGGAGAAGACCTGCCGATAGCCCCTTGAAGGCACCTCGTTCTTGTACCTGTCGCAAGCATTCCATCTGCGAAGTGCCGGCAGGTGCCATCATTACGGTATTCTTCCACATCTCAAATGGGTGCGTGAAGACCCACCCAAGCATGCCAGAAAAGCCGGCAATGCCAACAGTCCACGGCAGTGGCAGCGGAGCATTCTTCTGAATCTTTTTTTCTGATGACATATTTTGTAGGGTCCGCGATGAAATAAGACAACTGTAGATGGTCAACGTAGCCTCAAACCATCACATAAGGAAAAACAGAAAAGAGTAAAAAAAAAAAAAACATCGTATTTCAAACAACAGTCTTGAAGTCAAACAAACAAATAAACACACACACACACACGCACACGAACCAAAAAAAAAAAAAAAATGTGTCTTTGTATATTGACACTCAAAACCACACGTCTTCTTGGTGAGTGTGAAAAACACAATCGCATCTCTATGCATCGATGAAAACCACACACCCATACACCCATACATACAGGTAAGAATGCATGCAGTGGCCTGCTTCGCCGTTTTTCTATTTTTTTTTCCTTGGAATAAGAAGGAGTTTTCTGTCTGTATCTTCCTCACCCACGCAAACTGCGGCAGAGAGACGCCGAAAGAAATCTCCTACCCCAATCCACTTTTACCTCCACGTGCTGCAAGACTGTTTTTCCCTCGATAGCCTTCCTGGTGGAGAACAGCCCGTTGTCGCAGAATTCCCCGCCAGTGATCATGCAGCTGCGTTGCCGTCCGAGCAGGATGCCACACACCACGGTAAGCATAAAGGATACTTTCAAACCTTCCAGGACCTTTTGCAAATCGCGCCACACCCTGCAGTATAGCCTCATCCTCTTCAGGAGTGAACTTGTGTCGACGCTGCTTCGGCCGCGGCTCTACAGTGGCGATGCCACAACTTAAACCCCCGTTTGCTTCTGACTCTCGACCCCCAGAACCGTGAGAAGCGGACGCTTCGCATTTGTCGTGGGTCACTAAACCCGCTACAGCGTCAAAGGAGGTTAGGGCGCGAGTGGAACCGGGCAATGGAGGCATACGTGCCAAGACGTCCAGCGCATTACTGCATCCGTTCCCACCATGGCCATCCACGGGCTCCAGGCAACGGGCCTCTGGACAGACAACGGCAGTTGACTCCATCACAAGATTGGCGCAAGTTTCCTCTATGCCATCTGATTCACGTGTACGCTTCGACGCCTGAGACCCAGTGGTGGCCAGAGAATCAGATACCTCTCGTGTTTGGTTGCTTCTTCTATCGCGGCTTTGGAAACGCTCTTGTAGTACGGCACAAAGCTCCTCAAGCTTCACCTGCACCTCGGCAAACGGTAAAGACGCGTCTACGCCGATTTTATTGCTGCCCTTATTGTTGCTGCTTCTATTATTGCCTTGTTTTCCCTTGACGGATCCCGTTTCCAACTGATCAATAAACCGGGAGAGAAGGGCGTCCTCACCGCGTATGCGTCGCAGCATAATGTACAGCTCGTTCGCTGTCAGTGGATCTTGGCTTATATTCGGGCTGGTCTCGCTTCCAGTGGATCTGGTCTCCGGTGTGGGAGGGCCTTCTATTCCACGGTTCGCCAAGAAGGAGGCAATTACCGCAGACGCAATACCATCATGATACGTACACGTCTGCCAAAACGCTGGATCCTCGTGAACCACAGTGAGGGCCAACAGCCCCAAAACTGCAAAGTGGTTCCCGCGGCGTATGTGACCACGAATAATTTCATGCAGTATTGTAAAATTCATCGGAGAAGGGGTTGTAGAGCTCGAACAGCGCGTGTGTGGCATAAGCGTACGATGCGGCTAGAAAAAGAACCCAAAGGGAAAGGGAATGGGGAAAAAAAGCAGTGAAGTAAAGACTCACTCTACACTCTTGTTGTTGTTGTTGTTGTTGTTGTGTGTGGAGGGGGGGGGGGGGGTTGTTTTTTTGTGTGTTTGTGTATATTTCCTTTACAATGTTTTGCTACCCTCCTTCCTCGGGCCAATGTATCTTTTCCTCGCCCTTTCCTTGTGCAACGAGCGTATACTGTACGTGTGTGTACACGCAGTAAGAGAGAAATCCCCTCCAGATTGTCCCTCCTTCGTTGCGGCATGCGCCAAGAGGAGAAATGAAGGAAAGCAAGGCATATGATGTTGTCGTTCCCGTATTAAAGTTCATGCGTTCACGACTAAAAAAGAAGAAAAAAAAACTCACTTCTTTGTTGACTTTTTCTTTCACCATCATCACCACCTCCTTCCATTCGTTTTGCTTCACAGAGCTATCTACATTCCCATTTTGCTTTTACTTTGCGTATTCTCTGCTGTTGGTGTTGCGAGGCTCGCAGAGCCTCACCCCACGCCCCCACGCCTGCACTCCGCATATCAAAAAAAGAAGGCAGGCGTCTCTCACAGATGCATGATGAAAAAACAACAACAAACAGAAGAATAAAACACACGCACAACAACAACAAAAGGGACAACACATTGCAACATTACCCTCTCGCTATGCAAGCCCAAGCGCATGACAGCCAACATGTTGTTCTCTTGGATGAGTGTGCTTAATCTACTGTGAAGATGTGTCTATTACGAAGCGGGAGCTCAGTCATACGCTCCCCAAGCTTCACTGCCAACTCTTCCTGTCGCCTAGCAGCTTCGGCCCGCTTCCTCAAACGCTCCGCCTCACGGCGTGCTTCACGATCAGCCATAAATGCCTTCTCTCGCTCCTCATCTTCCCTGGCCTCAATGCGTCGGTGCATGTCGTTTTTCCATGATTCCTGCCTTTGCTGCAGCAACTCAAGGTCCGCGGCGTTCTTCGCGAAGTTCGTGCCATCTTCAACACCCACCGGAGCATCAACATCTGTCGCCATCAACGGCACTGTGGGCGCGGGTAGTGGAACCAGAGGTGGTTCCGCCGATGCAACAGACTCCGTGTCTGCCTCTCGTTGGGTTTCCTGCTTAGCGTCTTCGAAGACCCTTTCATCGGGGATTTTCTCATGTTCCTTCTCCTGCAGAGTGTCCTCTGTTTTGTCAACGCATACCTCTAGCTGATCGGATTTCGTGGCGGCTCTTTCCCGCTCACGTCTAGCTGCCTGTACCTTCTCCATCATGAGTCGTACCCGATCTTGATCCCCGATGGAGGAAACCTGCGGAACAAACAGCGTCTCCTCTGATGACTCCGCCGCCGGGGGGCAAGCCAATTCCGGCGAAACAGCACGTTCTGTGGACGTCTCATTGTTGTCGGCAAAACCCGCGGTAGCAGGGCCCGGAACGGAGGCAACAGCATGTTCACCGGTCATCTCCTTTGTGTCCTTCACCTCTGAAACGGATGGTTCTCTTGCGGCACCCAATTCCTGCCGCATATCCTCCGCTGTGAGTCCTGTTGGCGCTGGGGGCACGACGCGCAGCACTAACGTGAGCAACGCCTTTTTTCTCTCGAACTTTGCCTCCAACGGCGTCGACTCGACCGAGAAGGGAAGTGTCAGCGTCCCATAATAAGGATGTGTGGAAGCTTTTGCAATGGTGACGTATGCGCTTTCCACCTCAATGTTAAGCTCTGACGCGGACCGCACGCCTGTAAACTCCATTTTGACGACGAGAGTCTCAGGAACACCGATGCGCCGGTCCACAATTTTCCATCCCCAGGTCTCGGAGAGGTCAATATGCCCCCGGTGAGCAACGGTGCAGTGAGGAAGATGCTCCTTCTTCACTATTTTATCACTAGATACTCTTCCTGCTCCTACCATAGAGGTTCCAGCCGCTTTTGTCGCGGACTGCATTCCACCAGTTTCTCTATCCTTTTTACCAGGCGCGGGCTTCCTGTTCCCATCCGTGGCAGGCGAGGGGGGTAGTATTTTTGTCGGTTGCGTCAACACCGGCTCATTCATTGCAGCTGCAAATGGCGACTTACCCTTTTCTCGGCTAATCGTCTGATTCTGTGGGGTTCCCACGGCTCGGATGCGGCTCGACAAACGACGAAACTCAAACCCATGGCTATCACCATAGCCGCTGTTAATGTGTTCTACGGCAATGTTCACAAGAAAACAACAGAAGCGATCGCTACGATCCGCTAACTGTAGTGTATCAGGATGAAATACGGCATCATAGACGACGACAGGGCTCACCACATCCTCATCCTCCTTAGGTTGTTTCTCTCCTGACTTTGCTGACGTCGTAACGTCCTCGGAGAAAAACTCGGTTCTCGGCCTTGACACAGAAACAGGCACGAGCCAATTGCTCTTTTCATTATCCCCCGTTGACTGCTCAGAAAAGGGGTCAATTTTCGAGCTACTGCACATATTCACATAAACCCTGGAGGCTCGTTTATTCTTCTTGTCCCCCACTTTGAGGGAGGAGTGTGTCACTCGGTATGACGTTGCGGGTTCCAGCAGCTCCACCACAAACCCCGGTGTGGGGAAGACGAAGTCAAAGCTGTGGTCGCCGCCCGCCTTTGCCTCGCGTTCCACCTGCTGCAAATAGGCCTCCTCTTCGCGGCGCGTCTCGGGGTCTTCCATGGACTTTACGTAATCCTGGAAAAGCTCCACAAACTTGGGATCCTTCATTTTCTCCTGAATAGTGCGCAGCTCCTCGGGGGTTGGGGTAAACTTCTCCTCCTGCGCGCCCCTGCTAGACAGGTTAATCGTCTCTAGCGGCATCCTCCCGCTGCCCACGCCGATGGTGTTCGCTCCGTCACTATCTCTCTCCACTGCAAGAGACAAAAACAAATGTTGCTTAAGAAAAGACCACTACCGTGAAAACACAGTAATGTTTTTTTACTAAAAAAAAAAAAAAAAGAGAATAAAGCAATCGTTTACCAAACGCACAAAGGGCAGGACACGAAACCGGCTTCTATGGCAGTGCACATGTGAACGCACATACTTCGTAGCTTCCGAGGCGGGGCACTGTACATACTACCACAACAAGCACACACAAAAAAAGGGGGCAGGCCGTGGCGGTCTCATAAACATCGTTCCCCAACCACACACTCTAGGTTAATGGGCCCCCCACCCCCCACCTCCCATTAAAAAAAAAGGACAATTTGGAAAATCATGCTTTCTTCAGTTCCTTCTTTTTTTCCCCCGACTTGCAAGCCATATAACGTAAAAAACTACTCATTACGATATAGTCCCACAAAACTGCTCAACGACATTGTACAAGCAAACAATGACCCCAACGTTAAACTGGACAAAATAACAATAATAATAATAATAATAATAATAACAATCAAAAAAAAAATAATAGGGAGAGGAACAGTAGGTCTCAAGGGCAATTCCTAAGACACTAGACGTTGCAGTTTGTTTTGATTGCCCGCCACATCAAAATGCATGCTTTTTAGGTGGACCACTTTTATAGTTTGTTTTGCTTTTGATTCTTCTTACAATGTGACGGCTCCCCGCCACCTCTTTTGTACGGCGGGCAAGAGCTCCTCATCCTGATAAGTATCCCCCACCAAACGTTCATCATATAATACACCCAGTATATAAAAAGTGGCATAGATAACCTACACTCAGCCATCAAAAGCTGCGTCAGGTGATACGTCAGATTGGGTATTTAAGAAGGAAATATGCCGAGACTCTTGCCCCACCTGCCGAGTCACTGGGGGGCCAAAGCCTGGCATTTCTTTATGATGTCACCAGTAACGTCATGATAGGCATCATATTCCTCAGGTTCTTGCTGGTCTGCATCGTCGGAATCGCGGAGGCGTTCGAGGAATTAACGAGGCTACACACGATGCCTCCAGCTCCGTCCTTGTTGGCCTGCTCGTACGGGAGCGAGCACCATGCCCCTGCTGAGTTGCATAATTATGGGCCGGACCCGCCACGCGCGCCCCGGAGACCCCATTTCGGGCCTTTGTCACTGGGCTCTCCGGGAGTTGGGCCTGATTATTATCTTCATCGTGTGATAGTTGCTTACTCTCACGTTGGTCTGGCCTTAGCCTGTCTACGAGTCCAAGTGAGAGACGCGACTTGGACAACTTGCTCCAAACGTCGTCATCTACTCGCAGAAAACCTTTTCGAACTCCTCTCTGTGTGATATGAGAGGCACAAGAAGAATGGTCAGGACCGGGATGAGATGAGGGAAGGCGTACCTGCGTTGCCTTCCCAGTGGTGTCACCCTTTGAAGATCTCACTCCCACCGCGTTGTCCAAAACATTTTTCACTCTCTTTTGCCCCACCATATCATTTTCTATTTCCCGTTCTTCGTCCGTTCCATGGTTACAAAATGCCCGTTTCTGGGCCGCGACGCCAGGACACAGTCCCAGCTTCCCAGTCGGCAGCATCTGTTGTACTCTTGGACCCTGCCTGAGCCGCTCCTTCGTCAACGCACTCTTACGTTTTTTGCAATCCCGTGCACCTGACAAACCTTGTCTAGAGTCCAAGAGCACTGGAGAAGTCCCCATCAGTGATCGATACGCCAATAATTCCTCGTAGGCTTTGACACTGGTGCTTGTCGAGCGTTGTGCATGATCCCTCTGCGTTGGTGCGATGCTAGGGTAACGTAGGGAAGCGTGTGAACTACGCCGCCTACGGCGTGCCACATGCTCCAGGCAATTTGAAGACCTTTGAAGTTGGTGCTTCCCACCATCATGGTGCCAATTCCTGGTTAATGTGCAAGAGCGGTGCCACGACTTTTTTGGATCTGTCTTACTTACTGGAGCATTTCCACACTTTGGCAACAACACCAAAGGTATGGGAGTTGCATCCTCTTTGGAGAAAACAAAGGGGCGGATTGTCTTAAAGCAGGAACAGTGTTTGTTGACTATCCATTTTGAAATGTCGCTGCTACTCATCCCCTTATGAAGTACCTCCTCACTTAAATGAGACCGTTCACCCGTCAAACCAAAACACTCCTCACCTTTTTGTGTGCATTCATCAGTTGATTCAATGATTTTGCTCAGTCTCATTGGAGTCTTATTTTCCACAACGAAATCGGCGTTCTCCGTTTCGCCCTCGCTGTAGGAAGTAAGACTTGTAAAATCACTCTTCCCCTCCTCAAGCGTCTTCAAACCTATTTTTGGTAGAGTACGTTTTGGACATGTAGACTCGAATAGCGAATTCGGCGTCAGAATCCCGTTCCCTCTGTTCAAAAACGTCCTCACTGTGCTTTGCGTCCGTTGCATAGGGGAAGGACCGGTTGTAACCCCCTCCTCGAAAAGAAAATCCCCAAAACAGTGGGTCATGGTCGAAGAAACCAGTGACGAAAACGACTTAGAACCTTCAGCGCTCAAATCATCTTCGACGTCGGGGGTAAGCAATGGCATCCCCGAAACGCTGCAGTAGGTGTCATACGAGGTGCAGACACGAGACACGTCTCTCAGCGGCATTTCACTGCTCTCCATAAACCTATTATTGGACGCCCACATCCTCTTCAGCTGCCGCCGCTCCGCATTCCCGTTCGGGCCAGAGAAGGCTGGCAAAACAAGTCCCCAAGCGGGTGCAGCGTTGAATCCCGCCGGCACTGTAGAACGTGGCACCCCATCGCTTTCCATGCACCACCCATAAACAACCGTATTTTCCACCGCATACAAAGTAATGGAATCTTGTCTTGGTGTATTCCGCAGCATGACGCCAACAGCACGGGTCCTATTGGTAGGCTTCACCGCAATTGGCAAACCTATGATACAGCGAGACATTGTCGCTGCACTTTGCTCTCTCAGCAACACGTGGCAAAGTCCACTTTTTTTCATAGTCTCACGGGCGTTGAAAGAAAGGGGAAAGTTGGGGGCGTCAGTTGACTCCTTTCGCTCCAATGGGTTTTCAGCGTTGCTCCAAAACAGCTCACATAGGTTCAACGAGATGTAGGACTTATCGCGTGCCACCACAGTACACCTACCAGTTGACTCTGAACTCGCAGGAGCCCTGGACAAGAAAAGGCACCCGTGAGCCAAGCAGCATCCATACTGTGAGAGGAAGAGGATGCTCCGTCCATTATGCACCAGTTTAAGAGAGGAATCACGGATCTCGAGAGTTCCCTTTTCTTTGACCCACAAACCAGCGCCGTTATGCTTAAAAACACAACGGAAGACGCTTGCGCGACTACTTCCCCCCACAATAAGACCGTGACCGCCACAGCGAGCAACAGACATGTAATCCGCCTCCAGTGTGGCACTACCAGACAATGCCAGTGCAGTCGACTCCGCACCCAGGCCAGTAAAACTACTTTTTGAAATATGCACACGTGTGTGACCCGATGCTTTCATGGCAGGCACCTCATGATCACCCACAACTCTCCCGACTCCGCAACGATACTCAAAAGAACACCCTGAAAAAGTGCAAGCCCCGTTCAGTGCAAGATGAACACATGCAAACGCTGACGGTACTGACGCCTCTACCACACCACTGGAACATGCAGAAGTCCCAAAAAGACAATGCGAAAAGAAGACCGGACCTCTTCCCACTACGTCGACACGGTTCATAAACCAGACCCCGTGAAACCCAAGGGGAGCGAAGGAAGTAATCTTGAGCGGCTGAAAAAAGATTGCCTTGGGGATGTCTCTACCTTTTTTGACACATCTATAACCCCCAAAACCCGCTGTCGCTGAAGCGGTTGCATCCTTCAAGAGAGGTGCAGCAATGATTAAGCATGAATCTGTATTTTCGATATGAGGGCAGCTTATATACCCAGAGACAGACAAAGTCGAAGGATGGCCACCCGGAAGCTGTTGTGCCGCAGTCAGAAACGAGTCAGGCGTTACATCAGTTGCTGGCCACTTTAAGGTTTCACGCATAAATGCCGAGAGTTCCATCTACAAGAGCGACGGCCCTCGCGATGCAGCTGTGGCGTGTTCCCTGTCACCGCGTCCCACTTCTTTTCTTACCGGAGAGTTGGGGGCAGTGCTAACTAAAGGCAACGCTCAAATCACCAGAGAAGGTTCGTTGTTGTTGTTGTTTTTTTATGGCACAAAAAAATGAAAAAAAAAAAAAAAAAGTTAAAATGAAAAGTGTAAAAAGCAACAAATAATAATAATAATAAACAAACAAACAATGGAACCACAAAAAAACAAAAAGAAAACGTGACACACATGATACACACGCATGTCTTTTTTTTTTTATTGTTGTGAATGCTGGCAACCACCAGCATTGCAATTCCCCAGCCAAGAGTGCCCTCTCCTCCTTCACACCGCCTTTCGGGTGCATGTTTTGTCCTTCAATTAATGTCGTGTTTTTCCAGCGTTTACTTCAAACGCACCGGATGGAAAGTGATGATGCCGAAGATTTACCCGACGTTCTGCCACAATCGCGGCGACTTCCTTTAAGTCTGTAGAAGAATACGGGGAATCTCCCTCCGGAATAAAACCCCACTGCAGCTGCCACGCAGCTCGACCTTCTGGAGAGGTTACAGACATGCCACCACCACCACCTCCTCCACTCTTCGAGCTATGAGGATTCGGGTGAATTGTAGGAGACGCGTAGCAGAGCGTAAGCTCCTCCCCTTCCTGTATCTCGCGAATGCTAAAGGTATGCAGAAACGGTTCGTACAACAAATCAAAAGGAACACCAGCCAAAAGATTGTCAAAAACGTCGATTCCGCAAAAACTCTCTTCTGTTGCCATTGTGTAGTAACAATTCGGTTCCGGGTCGTGATTGAGTTTATCCACCAACGGAATTAGGGTTGCAGCGCCAGCACGCCGCGACAGCACCAAACTCACCCACCAGGCATACTCCTCTTTGGACAAGCGCTGACGCAAATAGGAGCTCAACGGCAAACCCTGCATCTCATCATGAAAATATTCCCACAACTCAAGTGCAGGGCTCTTGCTACTCTGCTTGGAACTATTCTTCGCCTCCCCCAAGGAAGTCGTTGTCTTGCCCATTTTTAATATCTGCGTTATCTCCTCACGTTCCAAAAAAGGTAGATTGTTGCTCGGTATCACAGACTTCTTCAGGTAATTCACATAACCTGAATGGGAGGGGCGCCAATCCTTCCCTGTGACCTCGTCCCCCGCCACCACCAACTGTCCCACCAATTCCTCTACATACATAAAAAAGGACGTGATAGGATCACTGGCAGGCGGCGGATGCGCAAACATGAGAGCTTCCACAGGTAAACTAAGAAGATACATGCCAGGCGGTATACGCTGCGTGGCCAAAAAAGAACTTCCACATACCCCACTCCTTCCTCTCAAAGTCGCCAATGTGAGAAATGGTGAGACCACTGCCTTCAAATCCTCAATAGCACTCTGAACAAACAAGACGTCATGCACGTTAGTTGGAAGTGCAGGAGACGCACCGCGTTGTGGGAGGGAATGTTCCCCACCCCACCAACGTCGTCGTGCGGCTTCCGTCAAACCGCTGCGCCAGCGACGCAACGCAGAGGTCCCCATACCAAGCTCACGACAAAAAAAGTCTGCCGCAGCTTCACCATCTTCTGTAGTAAAAACTCTCAGTGGGGGGGACAAGTGAGACGAAGCTCCCTGGTCCTTCTCCAAAACGCCGGTTCCCACGCCAGCAGCATCTCTGTAGATCTGAGCAATCACTGGCAATGAACAGTGTAGATTACGAAGCAGAAGCGACGGGGCGGAGTGAGACATCCCTCACCTCATCACTCTAATACACAGCAAGCCGTACTTCTCTCGCCCTGCGGTGCTCACCTAACGCAGACTCAAACAAGCTGTCCCTAATCAAAGAAAGCCCAACAAATGAAATTACCAACCTGCAAAGACAATAAAATGAATAGAAACGTCGGGCAGAAGAGGATCAGATAATACGAAACACACAAAAATAGGGAGGGGGTGAATTTGGAACTGTGGTACGCGCCTTCCTATAATTCAATAGTCAAAAATTACGGCAAGAGAAAGGGGGTAAAAAATCCAAAACTATATAACCTAAAAACTATATATATATATATATATATATATTTATCGTAGTATGGCAGACCCCAAAAAATCAGAATAACATGTAACTGGACCTGAGCCACAAAATCATTGTTGTTGCTCTCTTTCAGGTAGACCATTGGCCCAGCAGGGGTGGCGGGCCCATCTTCTTTCTTGGCTGGCGACGTCGTGGCCATAATAGCATTGGTGGTAGCAGTCGTAGTAGCCCCAGGATCATCCTTCGCTTCACAAATGCCAAGACCCGCTTGGATGCAGCAATACGCCAAAAGCCATTCCAGAGGCTCCAACCTGTCCGTGTCTTTCTTGTGTGACTTCCGGTTGCCGGAGCAACGGTCCACAGAGGCCAATTACACAGCCATAGAATGACAGAGCTTCAGTGGTCCCACTTTACCCTGAACAAGTTGCATAGAGGTATACAGTATGCGTGTGTAAACAGTATTCAAGAACGATAACCGCGTCCCATTTTCCGCTGCCCCGGCGTCCTGTAGTGACACGCACCGTTGTCCAAGGCCTCTCAGTGCGAACGGAAAAAAGTAAAAAAAAAAACAGTGCCCATTCCTCCTTGAAGAGCGGTGTGTAGGTCGTAGACGCGTCAGGGTTGTGGTAAACCTGAGTGACACAAAGTTTGAGGTAGTTTTGTGTCATCTGCGGCAGCATCATCTGCAGTTTTGCCTGTGGCGAAAAGAACATACACGGTGAAACAAGGGTCGAAGCAATAACAAACTTTCCCTTACCGCACAAACAATGTGATTCAAATGCCTTGTCACTTAAAATTAAGCGTGAAAGAACAACAGCATCCTTTGGTATAAACGCATGCGTCGAGAAAGGGGGATAATGCACTTCACACAACATTCCCGAGTAAGCCCCTGTCCGTCGCTCTGTATTTAACGACGTCACACAGAACAATGGAGCTGGAGTATATCCAAGAGAAATGCGCCTGTCAGAGATATCTTCCGTGGAATGAAAAACCGTGTCGACAAGTCCCAGTTCTGGAAATGTCTTTCCTGAAAGAGCCCACAACTGAGCAGTCGCAACGAACCCAAATACCTCTTTGTGGGGTCAATTTACTCCAATCACTTTGCCCCCTACTCGCGTGCCCAGCAGGCAGTCGCATTTGTAGCAGATGCCCTCCAATAGCCCTGAAAAACGGGTCACAAATGGCGCACCAATCCCCGGCCTCGTAGTACTGAACCAACCCACCACACGACACGCCCTGCTTTTCTTCATGATTCAGAGTTCCATCTGTCTGCGTTTTCTCCTCCGTCTGATGAGCATAGCCAGTGCTGGCGAGAACCAGGAAGGGACCATTTACCATCTCCAGTGTGGTTTGCTTGGAAATCACAACGTTGGTATTACTCATAAGAAATGCAGGCGCCCACTTCCCACACGCCAGCCACGCCTCCACAATACTGCTGATGTACGGTTCCCAACCAAGGGCGCCTCAAGGCGCCGCAAACTCCTCCGCACCAAAAAAGTTCGGCAATTTGAACACAACCCTATGAATATGCAACTCTGGACGTCATACGTTACGTTTTGTGTTCATCGTTTTTGTCACAGCACCAGTTGCAGCAAAACCACATATTAAAAACAAACGAAGGGTAATGGATTGGCCACTCCCAGACACCATCACCGTGGTCAGTGGCAAAAACACTGTGGAATACATGAGCAGTGGAACGAAGGGGTATTGCAAGGTGAAAACGACCACAACGTGGACCACGTGCCCTGCAAGCAGGCCGTCACAAGAGGAAACATGCACACTCCACCTGGCAACTGTGTTTTTATCACCTTTAGTGTGACATTTAAAATATGAGTTACTGCCCTGTTTAGGATGCACCTGGGGATTAATGACCGTGACGTGTGGAATCGGGTATTGCAAAATGTACTGAAGCTCCCTTTGTTTGTTTGTTTTGTTTACTCTGTGAGGGCCTGTGGCGATCCGCACCTCTGTCTCTTCAGCATTCGTAATTCCCTCACTGTCCTCAAAAATCCTGCCCTTGTAGAAAATCGATAGGTGCAACTGAATAGGCCCGACTTCTTCCTGCGTTGAATGCGCCAGCATGCCCAACACTCTTGACTTCGCCGATTTCACGCGACTTTGCGTTGGAAACAAGAGAAGTGGGTTCACCTCCGGATTGGGCCAAAGTCAGACTTTTCCCCCTCTTATTCCCAATATTCTTTCTATGCTGTTGCTGCTGCTGCTGTTGTTTTACTGCAGCTTCGGCTGCGTACCCCTCCCTCAATCAAAAAAATGCGTCTCGAGCTGGAGGCGCAAGACATTCCCGAATAACTCAAGCTTGGAGCGACCCACAAAAGTATTTGGTGGCGTGCTCCCGCTCACTATCGCTGCCGGTACTTGCCCCAACGTCGTGACTAATCTCTAAGGAGGCACCGATAGCACTCATACTAGTAGATGCAGATATACTGCTAAGACTAAAAAGAGCAGAAGCCGCATGGATCTCTGCTTCGCGTTTGAGTATATGCTGAATGAGTGTAGCTTGTCCGTCAACGTTAGCCACCGTCTCATGCACGAGTAAACCCGGATTGCCCTCCTCTAGTACCACGGAGTCGGTTTGCACCGAGACGAGCATGTTGGCACGTGGCGCTGGTGTTTCAGTTTGCGGTTCAACGAACTCCTGCGCCATAAATTCATAGGGCGCAGTTCCACCGATCACAAGAGGGTCAGTGCGGAGACTTACTACCTCCTTTTTTTTAGCCCTCTTTTCCGCAGCGGCGAGTGAAAAAAAGGTTTTCCTCCGCCTCTCACCTCTCGCCTTCCGTTATCTCTGCCACGTTTTGCAAAAGAAATTCCGTCGCCCACCCCTCCATCCCCTTCCCACGAGACCTGAAAAAGGTTAGCGTGCGACGAACCTCCGGAAGCGGCGTCAGCGACTTCTTGTTCGCTTCCAGCTACCACGGCGGCGTCTGATGTGAGTGTTTTGTCTGGGTCAAGCCCTTCATCAGGTGCAGCACGTCCCGCGTTAGACGCCTTCACCAAGTGTGAAGGAGGCAGGCGACGCTACTTCAGATGCCCCAAATCCTCAAGCCAAAGTGGGTACATCTCAACCTGCCGGCTCTGTGCCTCACTGAGTACCCTCAGGTAACCATGCATGCGTTGTTCAACGATGGGCTTCGCACAATCAGTACGACGGCGTAGCGGGCGCATTCGCTCTGACACTCCGGCAACGCTCTTCATGTGAGGGGTGGCACTCACTGACGAATCTTCCTCCGCACAGGTGGTGAGTCCTCAGCGGAGATGGGGCCGCTCAATCATTCTGAGTCGCCTCATGCACTTTTTCCTCCCTTCCTCCCACTGCCAAACACGACACTCGAGGCACCTGTTGGTTGGCATAAAAAAGTACGCCCGCACATGGCAAACAATGAAGGAATGCGCACAGGGCACACGCCGTTTCCACACCGCGAGTAGACTAGATAAAAAGACACTGACAAAGAAATATTCAAACGGAAAAACCAAAATATTAAAAAAGCGGCGATCAATGCATATATAAAGCCGTAACAAAGATGAAAAGAATGCATATGCGTGTAAGCAGAGAGTCGTTTATGCAACAACAAAAAAAAAAAAACGGAAAAAAAACACAAAGCAGCGCTTCGAACGTGTGTGTGTGTGTGTGTGTGTGTTTTGTCTGCATCATGGAATTCAAAGTCGGGTGTGCGTGTGCGTGTGCGTGTGCGATTTTCCCCACCACCCCACCCCACGCCACCACACACACACACCCCTGACTCTCTTCTCAACGCCCGGCCACGACGAAATTCCGCCCTCACCGTCAACCAGTGGTCGGAGCAACGGAAATCCAAATGGGGGGAAGTACAAAAAAAGGCATGATACACTTCTCAACTAAAAATCCCAGAACCATCCTCGCGACGTCGACCCCGCCTACACGCAGCAAAAGAGAGAGAGAAAGAGACCAAAAAAAAAACCGCCACACACAACACAAAAATCCCCACAAGTTCATAGTACTTTTTTACTCATTAATGCCCATCACCTTTTTAAAAAGTATATATATATATATTATATATATGTATCCCTTTTTCTGTCTCTTCTTTTTTTTTTGCTTCCTTCCTTTCCTCCCTCCATCTCTCTCTCTCTCTCTTAATAGAATTCATTGGTTTGTTCATTCAGCCCATATTACTTACTTTTATAAAAAGCGCACATGGGACCTTTGCACGTCAAGAAGGTGGCATTAGCTTGATCGGTCGGCTACCACCGCTCCTCCCACCACCATCCCCTTTCTAGTCCTGCTGAAAAAAAAAAAAAGCAAAAGTGGAGGAAGTGCGGAAGAGGCGGGAGCGGGTGACCCTTGCCGCGTCAACCACACACACACAAACACTTCCACAACGGGCCCACCTCTCCTCTTTCACTCCCCTTTGGCCCCTGACACACTTTCGCCTTGCAGTCTAAACACGACAAAAATAATAGTGGCCCGCAGCTCCCCCCCACTCGCCAGCAAGCGCCACTTACCCATGCTCAGCGAACAATACACCAGAAACAAGACCAAAGACATCCTGCGCCAGTCGCCACCCACTAGTAACTGCGACCAAAGAGCACCCAGTGCTTTGCAGGGCTGGTGCAACCCTTGCAGATACATGTTTTGCCCTCGACAGACTCTGGCTGGTCAAATGGGATGCAGAGTGTCTTCGCACCCATGCTCGGGGCACGTGTATCTTCCCTAGCATCTTCGCTCTGTAGTGCCTTGGACTCCTCCGCGCTGTCCTTCTTCACCTGATCCTCACACGACATCTCGCCGCACCATGGAGCCAACACCAAAGACTTCTTGTTGAGCGCGGGTGTGAATTCGCTCCAGTCTGTCAATCTCTTCGTGTTATCCTGACGATCTTTTGCAGCCTTTGCAAACATGTTGCTGTGGATCTCGTCCATCAACGATGTCATTGCGACTGGCATCTCCTTGTCCCATGAGAGAGTACGACGGCTGCCGTCGTGGCGCAAGACGAGTGACAGCTTTGACGACGCCAACTCTCTTGGTCCAAGCTCTACACGTACTGGCACACCCTTCACCTCCCAGTGATTAAACCTCCATCCAGGGCTGTAGTTATCGCGAAGATCCGCCTTGGCACGGATTCCGCCTCGCACCAACTCCTTTTCGAGTGTCTTGCAACCCTCCAGCAGGGCTGTTCGCTCCTCGTCCTTCGTGCTCTTTGTAATCCCCACGGGAATGATGACAACCTGCACCGAGGCAACACGTGGAGGAAGCACCATACCAGAGTCGTCACCGTGAACCATAATCATGACACCAATAACGCGGGTAGAAAGACCCCACGAGTTCTGCCATGGAATAAGCGTCGAGTCATCATTCTTCTCGGGATCCTGAAAACTGATGTTAAACATCTTACCAAAATTCTGACCCAAGTTGTGGCTAGTCGCACCCTGGCAACCGCGACCCACCGCTGCAATGTACGCCTCCACAGTTGTTGTGTAGTAGCCACCGGCAAACTTCTCCTTCTCTGTCTTCTTCCCCTTCACCACTGGAACAGCCAGCAATTCCTCGTAGACCGCAGCGTAGTGGTCAAGGATTTGGAGAACCTCCTCAGAACACTCCTCCTCCGTCTGCCACGCGCAGTGACCCTCCTGCCAAAGGAACTCCCTGGTACGAATAAACGGTGTGGGATGTGAAAACTCCCAGCGGATAACGTTATTCCACATATTCAACCTCAGTGGCAGGTCACGGTGGGACCGGATCCACTTTGCATAGTAGGGGTACATGGCAGTTTCGCTTGTGGGACGAATAGCAACAGGGACCTCAAGGTCTGTGTCACCAGCCTTCGTCACCCATGCCACCTCCGGCGCAAAACCTTCCACGTGATCCTTCTCGCGCTCCAGGCAGGCTTTGGTCACAAACATAGGGAAGTAGCAATCCTCAACCCCCATACTTTCGATACGAGACCCAAGAAATTTTTTGATACGGCTCCAGATAAAGAATGCCCATGGACGAATGATGTAGCATCCTGAGACATCGTAATACTCAATCATCTCGGACTTGGTAATCACCTCAATGTACCACTGTGAAAAGTTTTCCTCACGTTTCACCATAATACCCAGTTTTGTGTCACCAGAAGCATTCACACCTGCGGTACCGGGGGTAGCTGTTACGGCCTGAGAAGCCTTTTTTGTAGGCTCCCGTTGGGACGCAGAAGTCTTGACCCTCACGGCGCCACTCGACGGCGCAGTCCCAGTGGTGGCCGTCAAAAAGTCCACCACAACAAATGGGTACCCAAGTTTTCCCAGAAAATCCACCAACTGCTTGGGTGTTATCAGACAGCTCTTGTCATTGCGGCACGGGTGTAAAACGATGGGGACAGAACTATCCATGAGTGCCTTGTCTAGCACCACCTTGATGTTCTTTGCTTCGTCGTTCACGAGTGCCAGAGGGGTAACACCCCCCTGCACAACACCCAGGTGGGTATGCAAGAGCTCCTCCGCAGCGAAGCGAAGATCCTTCAGCGACAATGCATCCTGTATCACTTTCATGCTCGTCTTGGTGGTGTGGAGTGCAGTCACAAGAACCAAATCGTCCTTCTTACTCCTCAAAAACATATTCTTGGTACCAATGCACGGTGTTCCAAAGCGATGCAACTCCTTATTTGCCTCCTCCACGGTGTGCTTCTCCCCATGTGAGATGGTAGGCAGCTCCATACCAAGAGACTGGAGAACTTTAAGCATCTCCGACTCGCCCCTGCAATCACTCGCCGACATCGTTCTGGTAGGCTTCGTTACCTGCTCTGTAGAAAGAGAAGAATAAAAGGAGAGGCCGGAGGAAACATCGGCACCAGATACAGCTGCCTCATAACAGCGGCGGTAAATCCATCTTGCTGAAGAGCATAAGACAACGTGGCTACCGACAGGAGCATTATCCAAAAGCAACGACGTCTTTCTCTGAAAGCTAAGCAGCAACGTGCACCATCGCCGCAGAGCCACTGGGAAGAGGCCCCTGCGAGTAGGCTGCATGGTCAGTGCTCTGCCTGATAGCACAACAACAAGAACAACAACAGCAATAGTAACAACACCAGAAACGGTACACCATACACCCAGGTTCACGCAAATCGTCAGAACGTCACCCTCATTCAATACAGACATATATTTTCAGATACACGGCACTATCCACTGCCAACCACCCACCCCCAATAAGCTTAATATACAAGACAAAAGAAAACTCAAGGCAGAAACAACCAAAATAAATAATGTAATAAGAGTACAACAAAAACAGTTTGAAACTTTTTGCTCCTGAAAACCCACTTCCCTCAGCGTTTTGAAAAAATGAGAAGAGATGAACGCAGAAAAAAAAAAAAATTGCACATCACCTCATAAGGGAAAACTTCGTATCGGGCCGCATGGCACGTAGTTCCTCTAGTTTGTTTTGCCCGTGATGCAGCTGCCACTCAATACGAGTGATAAACTTGCAAGGAATATCGCGATTCCTGTCAAACTCAGCACGAATGAAATCCCGCATATTTTTTCTCGTCTGTGGGTCCTCCATCCTCTGCGATGCCCTTAACATGTCACGGTATAGGTTCAAAATCTCCACCTGGACCCCACTTCGTCGCTGGGGCCGATGCTTCACACCAGATAAAGCCGCTGCAGCACCAGACCCATCTACTTTTTTTGCTGTATCCCCCTGAGCCAACGTGGAAGTTGACGCCGAGGGGGCAGATGCAGATGCAGCAGCAGCAGCCTCCGCTGTGTTCGCCTGCTGAGCTGGGAAGATGGGGTTCCAGGTGGTTTGCGTCTCCTTGGCGTACACCGCATCCCGATAAACCTTTGTCATGGTGTCAAAGGCAAAACTGTGCGCGTTTCCCCCGACGTCACGCACCTTGTGGCGGAGGAGCAAGGAGAGACGCACCATGTCTTCCCTACCACCTTTTCTCTTCTTATACTTAGCACCGAGCAACATCCACGCAAGGCAATAGCAACAACAACAGCAAATACAAACGCAGAATGGAAAGAAGACAACCTCCACATTCCTTATCTGAGGTCAGTAACAGCAAAAAAAAAAAAACATGAACAAAATGAGGCAAAAGCAGAAGCAGCACGTGTCAATGGTTATTCATACAGTTTACATTAATCGAGGCCATCGTCGTCGTCGTCGTCGTCACTATTCCTCTCCATTCCCACCTTGCAAGCCCGCTGCAGAAGAGCCTCAGGGTGAATAACACTGACATCAGCGCCCAACGACAACTCCGGCGTGAACGCCATGTTGTGAAATAATGCCGCCTCCTCCGTGAGGCTCACGAGCCTCACCACGGTCCCGCTCTCCAGCCGCAATAGCGCACTGAGGTTGGCGTCAAACGCGTCGGCTGCGACCGCTGACTGGCCGCTTTCATCGTACAGTCTTAACGGATGACGACTATGCGCCAGTGTCGTCCATGGAAGAAGATAACCTGTGTAGCGCCCACCGCGAAAAGCAGATATCATGCTAGTGGTGGCACTAACGTCAGTATCTGCTCCAGAAACAACCTCCCGCACGGCTCGTGACGAGCCCAACCAGCGCCACAAGCCACCACCGCCACCTCCAAGCAACAATAACTCCTCCAGTAGCTCCCATCGTGTGGTAATCCCACCAACAGTCTCAGCCCCAGTTTCTGAATGAAGAGTACATCTTGACAGCAACTCGGGCGCTTCGTGCCCTTCCGCCTTCGCGACATGGAATTTTGCTGCCGCTGCTGCTTCAGATGCAGCCCCTACCCTTATATCCTGAAAGGGCAAAGAGAAACCAAAGCTCGTAAACTCTGTGTATGTGCCATGTACTGTAAGTAAATCCAAGAGCGAGCGAAACACGCCACAGGTGGAGACAAATCCGACGCTTATTCCGTATTGACGTCTTCCTGCTGCATCACATGAACAGCAGCTTTGGTGAAGCAGCAGCATGGTCCAAAGCAGCCTCCATGAGGCACGATGGTCCGCTTCCACGAATGCAGAGCATGATTTTTCCTCCTCGTGACTTGAGCCCCGCAAATTTAATATGGATGAGTTTTTCATATTCTGATGCCACACAGCAAAGAAAGCAACGGCAACGGTTGTGGCAAAGTTCTCCTGCAACCAATCCATGCAATGCGATGAACGCAATACTAAGGCCTGTATCGCCACTATCCGCAAGGCCTCCATAACAGCTGTCGCATCATGACGAAAGGAATGCTGCAGAATATGACGTGCAGTAAAAAACGTGACGCGACCACCCGCGTGACGTTCAATCTCACTCAACGTGTCCGCCACATGATCGTTGTTTTCATCAACAACACCAGCAGCGGAAGACGACCACTTGGAAAGAGCATCGTAGTACCTAAAAAGGGAGGATTCCAACACGCGAAAGGCAGTATTGCGAAGGATGATGGTCACATCGTTATGCTTCGAGACAGCACCCCCTGCTTGAAGCGCAGAGCCTTCCGGTCCCTCCTCAAGAAGACTCGCTGTCTTCTCCGCCTGAACAGCCCTCACAAGACGGCGTGCAGCGTGCGAAAAAGAGTACAAAATTTGCACCTGCTCCTGCAACGGCGCACCGGGAAAGGTTGAAGGGGCAGCAGCCACTTTCAGCTTCTGCTCCGCATCGCAGAGTAACCGATCACAGAGAGCCTTCAGGGTGTGAATCCGCGGCTTGTGAGGCAGTAGAGGGAAAGGGGGAGGTGGTGCACCCCGCTGCAGCCGCTGTAACTCTCCAATGACGCTATAAATGATCGCCTTGACGCCGTCAAAGGAAAGTCTCAGAGGTGACAAAACAACCCCGTCCAAGACGACGGACACAAATTCCGATAACGGCGTAATGAGGCGAAGAGTCATAGAAGAGTCCCCAAGCTTCAGCAAGGGCTTAACTAAAAACACGGGGTTGGAAGTTGCTTCCAGAGCCCCAAACGCGTTACCACACAAAGCAGGCGGCAATAAACGCAGGAGTAGACGCCGAAACACATCGTCATCCACAACAGGGAGTGTCAGAAGGGGCTGAGATTCCCCCCAGACAGATTCATGAGAACAAGATTCATTCGCCTCACAACGTGGTGACTGGCAGAAGCGCGCATACGCCTCACGAATAATATCATTCCGCAAAATCAATGGAGTCTCACCCTGCCAAAACAAACAATCAACCAAATCGTTTCCTGCTGACACAGAATAAGAAGCATCAGCTGAGGCCTTTTCTAGAGGTAGTGCAGCAGTGTCTCCGGCAACAAGTAAGTGAAGCATCCTGTCAAGCACTTGACGCACATCCGAAGACACTTCGTGCGTTGAATCCACTGCGCCACGTAGTAAGGTGGGAGTCATGTGCTGCAGCAAAAAACTCGGCAAAGGCCTCCCAAGACGTGCGTCATGCCTGTTGCAGGCGGCATAATCATCCAGGTAGAGAGAGAGTTGCGGGAGCCAATCGCTGAGAGGAATATCAGAAATGCATACCAGCCATTCTAAAATCACAGGAAGCAGCGGTCGCACCTTTGGATGTCGCGCCACGAAAGAAAGCAGCGGCCGCAACACGCAGTTAGCCACCTTGGCAAGATCCTCTTTGGAAAGACCGCTGCGCCTAGCCCAACCGCCGCTGGCACATGTGGCCTCCGTCCACACTGCAAAGCCCAGCCCTTTTACGATTTCCGAGCCCAGTAAGGGGTGCAGCGCGCCACTGCTTCCACCCTGGCTGTCGTGTTGGTGCTGGTGATGAAGCAGAACTGTCAGGAGCGTATCCACAAGCCCAGGCATCTCCCACCACCGACTTGGTGAGTTTTCAAGTAGCCGTCGAACAGACATTGACAGCGCGTTCAACGCCAGCTTGTTCGTTGTCTCTGAGAGCCCAAGCGGCCTTGCGCCCAAAGTTCGACTGCTACCGGGCAAATTATCTTCTACGGGAAGATGAATACGTTGACAGCCGCCGCTGCTGTAGTGCGGGGCAGTAAGTCGAAGCAACTGACGGCAACACCATGCAGCACGCCTCATAAAAAATGCTTTCCCCTGCGGATCCCACAAAAAAACAAAAAAAAAGGACGAGAGCTCCGCAACCATCAACAGCAGCAGCAATCATCATATCCATATTTATATATTTATATATATATAAATATATCCCAAACACACAAAGCACTCAAAAGTCATTAAATACATATAATAAAAGTAGTATAGTAATCTATGCCATTCTTCCCTTACACTCATTGTGCAGCCACAGAAGAAGAAGAAGAGAGAGAAGAAAAAAAAAAAAGGGAGGAACAAAAGAAAAAAAAAAGTTCTAGTAACAGGCCCCATGATATCTCCAAATGGAGATGTGCATCGGTGAAAAAGATGAGAATTGTATTTCGACACACCCCTACTCATACCGCGTCCTCGTCGTCAACAGATTCACGGTTTCTTTCAAGAGAAAGCTTTACTTCCTTGACCGGAGTAAAGTAATTGGGTGAGGGAATCCGTCGTGTCTCTCTTCATCGCTCACTAGTCCCATTAGTTCGGCCTGGCGCATCCATACCTCTTGATGCTTGCGCATCATGCCTCGCTGAACCATAGAGCTACAACGATGATAACTGTCACTCGTTTCCGTTGGCAGTGAGTAGGCAGCCCCGCTCGACAACGAAAAACTTAAGGCAAGCGCTCCAGAGTTTGGGAGGGGGTGACACTGCCTCCCAGGGAGGTGCTGAGAAGAATGGAGCTGTCGTCCTTGCCCCCGTTTGTTATGCCCGGCAAATGCACCAGGGACCAAAGAAGAAGGCGACTCGTGCACCGCGCCTGATCTGTCTGCACCATGAAAGTCCTGTACCCCGTCATCGCTTGCACATGCAGCCCGTGGAGAGGAAGCAGCATGAGGCGGCACAGACACAAGGCCTGTAGAAACGTACTCCCCACGCTTCTCATCACCCAAGGGTGGCGAGGAAGTCAGACCTCGCAGAGGAGATTTTGACGCCCCCATCAAGTGTTGGAACATTTCCGGTTGCTCTTCATTGCGCAGTGACCGACGCGGCTGCTCACCTTGACGCAATTTGCACTGCAAGAGTGTGCGCAGCGCGCCTTCCTTGTCAACAAGCTCATTTTGCACACGTTTGAGTTGAGCCCGCAGGACATCAAGAGACTCTTCCTGGGTTCGCTGCCTCACCGCACCTTCTTCGCAAAGGTGTTGCAGTTGCTTCTGAATCGCAGCCTCGCGCGCTTCTGCCCGCGTCTGTTGGTCCCTGTGTGTCTGTGTCATTGCCACCAAAGTCTCCATGAACAGGGCGTGCAGCGAATCGGCAAAGATATCCGTCTGCTGCCCAACGTACAGCAAGAACCGCTTCAAATCGCGGATGTGCATCCCATGTAAAGCTTCGTCTTCTTCCCCAGTGACCTGTGCCTCTGCGGAGGGGCTGTCCCTGCTGCTTCTTGTCGGCTGTTTGAGCGAATTACCAGCCAAACTCGACCCCCCGTTCAGTTTCCAAATCGTCTCGTCACGTTCCCCAAGAAGAATCGTCAGACGCGTCTTTTCTTGTTCAGCTGAAAGTAACAACTGCTGCAGATGTCGCGTTCCCATGTTCTGGCGTCCCACTAGTTCATTCCTATCCGCGCGAACAACCTCTAGCTCTTCAATCAGCTCCGAATGCCGCCTCTGAAGTGCACTTGACCATTGCACCAACTGAGACATACGCTCCTGGGCGCGACTCACAAGGTCTGTGACAGAACTCTCATCATGGATACTAGCCTGTGGTGCCTCAAACAGCTCACTTTTGTCTGGGGGAAAATTCCACTCATTATGAGAAGTATCAAGCTGGAACTTCAGCAGCTCTTCAAGCGACTGCACCAATTGCTGAAGTTTATTGTCAACCTTCAATAACACTTCCTCCTCCACATTCGTTCCCACCAACAACTTTACTGTATCTAGTAGCTGTGACACAATCCACTCGTGGCGTGCTTCACCACAATGCATTGCCGACAGCACACCCTGCAGCCGTTGCTCTGTGTCCTTGCGCAAGGCATCACTCAACGTCGTTCCGTCTTTATTACAACCCTTGTAGCACGTCTCTGTCTTGCCACTGTCAGCAATGCTGCTCCTACCCATCATGTCTGTGTTGCAGAGCCGCATCTCCGTCTCAAGTTGCTCCAACTGTTGTTGTAACTGTTGTCCCTCCTCCAGACGCTTCGCAGAAGCATCCCTCAGCCCTACGACTTCCACCTTTAATTCTGCCAATTCAGCCTCCACAACGCAGCACCGCTCCCTAGAGGCCCGTAGTTCCTTGTCCTTTTCCTCAAGTTTTTCGGTTGTGCCGGCAAGATTGCGATGAACCTGGCGCAGGGCAGTCGCTAGCTTCTCCTGGTTGCCCCTCAACTTATTTTCCTGAGCAAGCCACTGCTCATGCTGGGCCATCTGCTGTTCTTCTTTCGCAAGAAGAGTCGTCTCTAGGTTTTCATTGCGGACAACCTGTGCGACTAATTTCCCCTTAACAGTCTCGCACTCTAACGAAAGGCTATCAAGCGTCTCCTGCATCTGTCCACACTCTTCTTCTAGTATCCACCGATTTTTCTCTTCGGTTGTCGTTGTTGACGCCACGTCCTGATTGACCACACCTGAACTGGAGAAGACGGCAAAACGGTGCCCTTCTATTTGTATTGTTACCTCCTTCGCTTCCTCGTTCGTTATTCCTTCTTTTCCCTTTCTCATTTGATGGCACACAAAGCACGTTTGTCCTGGGGCCAGTGTTTTCCTGAGGTGGATGCCATCTAAGCAACAAGGACGTGAAGAGGTCTGTGAAGTGCCCCCAGCTTCTGGGGTTGACAGCACACATGTTTGCGGCAGTGACCGTGTTGCCTTAAAGAAGCAGGCCTCACGATCATCTCCAAGGGCCACTGTCAGTTGTTTCTCTGCCAAAGCGCAACGGTGTTTCCAAAAGGCAGCCTCCTCCTCATATCTTTTTCCGCAGCCCCGATCAAGGAGAACGCTGAGAAGCATAGGCTCCTCCTCCACTTCCCCACAGTTTCGGTTATCCTCATCCAGCACCCAGTGTTTTTTACCAACACTACACACGTTAGTCTCGTGAGGTACACGCGTCTGTGGTGTCTCACTCCCTTCCCCTTCTGTCACACTGAATGATGATGATGATGATGGAGGAGGAGGAGGAGGGGGTGAAGACAGCTGGCCCTCTAGTGTTTGTTTAAACCCCTCCGAGGAAACAACAGAACTGTCCTTCCGGTATTGAGTAAGGCACCTGTCTTTTTGCATGCTGTGTTGGCTTAGGTTCATACCAGCGGGCCTGAGAGACGCTTTAAGCCCTCCACTTGGTGGGCAATCGACGTTTGTGCAATCCGCAAGCAGTCGATTGTTGCGGAAGCAGGGAGGAACTGCTGAAAACTCCGTGACTCCATCCCGCAATGGCCCCTCCACACCCTCCCCCGCTAGTGGCCCACTGCCGCTCTCACACACAGCAGCCTCATCCAAATCCTTTTGTAAGTCCATTTGAGTAGTTGTCTCCGTCTCACGCGGGTTCGCATTAAGGCCACTTGCAACAGCATCATTAAGCTTGTAGAACCATGTTGGGGAAAAGTGCCCAGAGCCCACCCCCGCTTGCGTTGCTTCCTCGTATCGTCCAGCGGCTATGCTGGGGCTGCGGGGACACCTGCTCATCATTGCGGGAGACTCCTGTCCCATCGCAATCTCCACCTCTTCCTGCGAACTCCCCATCTCACCAGCACCCAAAGCACCCTGATGCAGATGCTGTTGCTGCCGCAAAAGTGCCTCAGTATTGCACATCAGGTGTCCAGCTTTTGCGTCATCGCCCCCAACGTCAATGGCACTCCCTGACGTGGGCTCACGTTGCAGCCTAGAAGAGGACGTTGTCGGCTGCGCTGGCCCCACGAGGACAACAGACGGCGCACTGTCAGTGTTGAGCGAAGGCAAGCGGAGCTGCGGCTGCAGCGTGGGCGGCAGAGCCTCCTTTGTGAGGAGAGCGGAGGTGTAGCTATGCCGTTGAGACTCAACTGCAAGATCCGACGCTGCACCACGCATCACCCCCCACCCGCAACGCCGACGCAAAACGTCCCGCTGCTCCGCCCGAGGTGGTTGTCTAAGTGCAAAGAGGCAAAGAAGCACAAAAAGCGAAAATTCCCCAAGATACAAAAGTTCACACAAACCCACAACGCGGTGTGGCAAACGCAGATAAACAAAATGTCACTAACACGGCAGAGAAACATGGCAGCCCGCGGCGGGAGAGTGACAAAATGCAAGCCAACAGCAAACTGCACGAATACTCCACGCCCGCGCCTGCGGCTGTCCGTGCGACGCCGCAGCATTGAGATGCACAGAAAGACCACAAGGCAGACGCACTCACGCAGGACATCACCGTATAACAGATACAAAATAAAAGTAAAAATCGCTTTGAGTGGTAAACGCAAAAAAAAAAAAAATGAAAAAAAAAAGTAGAGAAAAACAATATTCGCCTGCAGTAGCGAACCATCTGCCATGTCGCATGTCACTCCTTCACAGCACAAGCTGCTTGACGACTCTCTTTCCTGCCTGTAACTAGGTTTCCTTGTGCACGAAGAAGAATCAGAGCCAACGCACTCCCCACACATGCAGACACGCATGTATCCAACAAAAAGCAGAGCTGTCTGGAAAACGCAAGTCACACACCAGCGCGGCAAACCAAACAAACAACAAAAACGCCAATCATTTACAGGAATCCCTCCTTCCTTCACTACTTTCCTTGCGCTACTGTTACTAATTCCACCAGCACCACCTCAGCGCTGCTACTTTGTTCGCTAGTTCCCATTCACACACCCCACCCACCCCACACACCGTAGAAAGAAAGACACGGTCCATACTCCTTACACCCGGCATCTTGCTTTTTTTCTACGCATTCACAGGTTTAAGTTTCAGGGTCGCAATATACACTAATAAATATTTCACCCACAGACCTATTCAAACCTATTTTCGTATCATGAAGACAGCTTGTGACTCTCATTCTCTATCTATACATGAAAAACATTTTTGGTGGTGTCAAACCTTTCATCCTTCGCTTCCCTCCCCACACCGGTGTCTCCCCCACTTCTCCTCGAAAGGTAAGCGAGTTTGACGCGCACACTGCATAAATATATATATATATATATATATATCCAGAAATGAATTTACTAATTAATATCCATCCTAATTCCTGCAGGTGCCAGAGTTGGTTTGGGTGGTACTAGTGACTGCTTCTCATCTAACCAATATTTTCTCTGGGCCTGTACCTCCAACTCCCGGCGACGCACGGCGAGCATCGCAGCCTTTCGTCGCCACCATGAAAAGTTCTCGTAGAAGAAGCGATCCTCCAGGAGAAAATCCTCTGTTTGACCTCCATTACTCCACGGAGCAACAATCGGTGCATTCGCATAAGGCCAGAAGCGGATGCCAGTTTGATCCATGAGGCACGTACGCCACTCCCACTCTTCGTCACGGCAAAAAAAAAGAGGGCTCTAGCAGGTTCTGTCATGTGGCACTTCAGGAGTGTGGCGCTCTGTTGAGGACAAAGACGTGATGATGCTTCACTCGCCTGCATAAACGAGGTGACCGTTTGGACATCCTCTTCCACACACTTGAGCGGGTTCGCGCGCCAGTAGTAGCAGTTACGACTAGAAGTAACAGCATCTTGCAGCGACAGTAGCGCCTGATACAGTGGCGCAAAGGCCCTAAGGACAGGAGCAGGAATACTGTCACGGAAAATGCCTTCCAGGGCTTGTTTAAACTGATCCATTGGATATGTCTTCTTATTCGTTTTTCTGCTGGTTTTGTATTGTTGTCGTTGGTTGCCTATTGCTTCGTTTCCCGGTGCCAAAGCCCAGACTTCCCAAAAAAAAAAAAAAAATTGCACCCTCCACTGTGATGGCGCAATCCCTCTTCCTGCACCTCGCATGCTCTCCCCGAGGCGTCTTCACCACACCCTCACACACAGACACACATCCTATGGGCCCCACTCTCACACCTTCGCCTATTCGATCTTCCTCTGCGTTGTGTGCCGATGCTCGAAGCAGAAAAAAAAAACAGGCGAGGAAAAGGCAAGGGGCAAAGTGGTCCCATCAGTCGGACGCACGCAGATGGTGCTTTCACAAGGAGAGCAAAGTTGGAAAGTGGGCAGAAGAGCACAGGTACGCCCGTCAAGAAGAGCAAGAAAGAGCCCCGTTTAATGATAATAATAATAATTCACAACGGAACTTATCACAGAACGTGTGTAATTGTGACAGCACAAAAGCGTGCCCTATTTGCAAGGATGGTCCCTGATGGCTATGAAACTATCACCACATAAATGCATATATAGCTCCCTCCCTAACTTATCGCACAACAAAGTGCAGTCACCCCAAAACACTGCGAGACAATGGGAGTGGGCAAAAGAAACAGATCCCCAAGCCGGCAGCTTTGGCTTTGACACAACAACCACCGTGCCGTGCGAACATCATAGCGCTCATCTCCTCCAATCCGGTCAAGCCTCGTCTCCGCCACCGAGACCCCACTCCCACAAAGAAAAACAACAACAACAATATTACCAAAAAACCAAAGCGGGAAAAAGTGGGAATAGGAAGGAGGAGAGAAGGCAAAAAAGAAAAAAAAAGGGGGTGTCACCGTTATCCTGCTGTTTTACTTGATGTGCAATTCGGCACGCTCACGGAGTCGTTCTGCTTCCATCAACGCCTGTTTTGCGGCCTGGCCACGCCGAGTATAGATGCGTGCCACAACTGACACAAAAAGGGTGATGCCGTAAAAGATGGCCCCATTAAAGCAAGCACGCGCCTTTTCATCGATATCCCATCCATTTTCTATGCTCTTAATATGGAATGAAACTGCACGCACACTAAACATGCCACCAAAAAGAATAAGGTGAACAATGCCCATCAGTGAAAGCACTGCGCAGCAGTTTGGGCAGGAGTCACTCGCCATTTCCACCCTTCCCCACCTCTCACTCCTTCCAATACACACTACAAGGAGTCCCTTGCCTAGAGTCTTCGTCCTCTACAAAAAAAAAAAAAAAAAGCAAGGCTAAAACAGACAAGACGAAGCATCAGACAGCAGAAGAACCATCCAGCATATTATTATCATCCCCTTTTTGTAGTGAATATATCAGCTCCCCTGCCCGGGCAATTTTGTTCTCTTTTTGATACACTCACCGCCGACAGGGCGCTCCCGGGTTGCGAAAATACAAAGAAACACACACACAACAAAAAAAAAAAAAAAAAACAAGAAAGGACATCATCAAACGAATGGCATACGCTACCAAATCCCCTCCTTTTCTCTACCCCTTCATTTCCGTCTTCAGCGAAGGAAAAAAAAAAAAATGTGCAGCGCTTGGCTCGAAAAGAAAGGAATCGAAGACGAATGCATAACCATCACATAATAAATAAAGGGGGAATATACACTGCAAAAAACTTGGGCATAACGAATTCCCCCTCAATCATAATCAATTAGTAGTAAGTGTTTGTGCGCACGTGCGTGTGCTTCCCTTGCTGTTCTCCATATTTTTTTTTTATTATTTTTTGTGATGGGAGGGGGTGGAGATAATTGCTTTGCTCTGTGTTGTTCCCAACAAGGTGTCCTTGCGTATATGCAATGGCAGCTGAAAAACAAAAGGGCGGGGCGCCAAATGACGCAATACTCGGCAGGAAAGGGTAGTGAAGAGACCCAGGTGGTACACTCATCAATATGTAAATAAACACCATATACAAAACAAAAAGGAAACAAAAAGACACCTGATAATAGTCACATCTATTTACAGCGACTAAAGCCACCCAAGTAAAAGATCGCACGTGAATGTAATGCATGATATTGAATGACGGCACTGCGGTCGCAACAGGTATTATGCAAGAGGCGTTGACTCAAAAGCAAAAGAACACCCACAAAACCTACTATACGGGACCGGGGGTTTCATACCTTCAGACCCCTTTTTTTTTGTTGTTGTTGTTGTTTTTTTGTTACCCACCCGCACACCCCACTTCACTTCGAGAATGACTGCTCCCCCACTCTTCTGCGTCACAGTGGCTCCAGCGCGGTCAGCAAAGTTGAAAATGAAATGTGCCACATTTTCCGGTGTCGCTTCCTCTTTCGTCTCTTCCAAGAGTTTCGCGTTGTCACTCCGTTTCCTTGTCTCCTCCACTCTCTTCCTAGCGGGCGCGTCTCCCCCCCCCCCCCCCCCACCCTACACAAACACCCATCTTCCGTCTCTGCAATGTCATTAACTTTTTGATGCATTGCTGCCTCTCTATCCCCCGACTCCTTTTTTAAATGTATTCCGTTGTTGTGTATTTTGTTTCTTTTCGTCTTCTCCTTTTCCCCCTTCTCACTTTTTGGCATCCCCACTTGTTGCACTGTTGGTGGCCCAGGCAAGCTGTTTAAATGCCATTCAACATGACAGACGTCATGTGCATGGAGAATTCACCGTTATCGCCGGCATATGCAGAAGTGTCGAGACGGAGCCTCGGCATACGGGGCACTTTGGTGTATGCCTCATCAGCTCTTCGGCGCAGCCCTTGCAGAGACACATGTGACGGCACGGCATGACGGCCGTATCCTTTGCCATAGTGAGGCAGATAACACATAATCCATCCTCGTCCTCTTCCCCTTCGTGAGGCACAATGGTGGTTCCAAGCATCACCTCCGGATGTCCACCAGCAGCGCCTGAGCCATCTCCATCCACTCCAAACAGGTCTTCTACCACATACGCGGAACCTCCAGCCGTAATAATCTGACTGATTACCCGCCGTTTTGGATTTTCAGCAAGGTCCACCGCGGTGTGTTCCGTGTGCTCCACAATTTCCTCCACTGGAGGAATATTTTCGCTGCTACCCCCTGGCTTTCGTAATTCCTTTATACGGTACCGTAAAACGATGACACAAGGTTGCTGTTTAGGGTAATGCTTATTGTAAACACGCTCCTTTTCTTCCAATTTACATACATCAACGTGCAGATTGATTTCCTTGTTCTCTTGCGGTCCTTCAAGCGTATAACGGGGTGGCTCCATTTTGGGCTTGTTTGGCATGTAGTAGACCTCTCCCCCTTTGATAAACTCCTTCACACCAGTATGAATCTCGTATGACAAAAACGGGCACACGCTTGTGACACAAAACCTCAAACGCTGCATATTTGGATCGTAAATCACCGAGGAGGCATCAATAGTGGCCAACATCTTTACAATTTGCCCCTCCTGGACGCCCCGTTGATTGTCATTCGTCATGGTGTTGTTATTGTTATTGTTGTCTCCGGCGTGAAGTTGCTGATGCGGTGAATTTTGCCGCGGGGACGTTTCTGCTGGATTTGAAGGATCATGATTTGGCGCGGCAGGCATATTGTTACCAGCGCCTTGGTGTTGGTGCCGTTGGCTGTACTGATTTGCTAGGTGTGGGGGCATGTTCACTGGAGGTGCCAGCGCACCGCCTTGATTACGACGTTGAGATCGCCGCTCACGCGAGATGTTTCCCCCCATCTTATTGAACTCTTATTCACTTGAGCCTGCTGTCTTGGTTCAGTTGATTCCCTTTTTGTTTTTGTTTCGTTCTGTTTTTGACTTTAGTTTACGTTTTGCTTGTTTGTTCGTTTGTCACTGCTGTTCCTCGGCGTTACCCCCTCCCCTCCACTCTTACTCCCTTCCCTGTTTCGTGTGCACGTATATTTATGTGTACCTGTGTGTTCCACTTGTGAGGGTGTCACCTTTCTGTTTTTTTATCCTATCAAGTAGACTGGCGCCCAACGTATATGTTACACCAATCTTACAGAGTGGGAAAAGGTGCAAACACGGCGTTGTGCCCCCCACCTGGCAAATAAAAGTGGCAGGCAAATATACACAAGTATCCAATAAAAAGACACAAAAGTGCATACACGTTTATTTATGTATGCATACAAGTGCATAAAAGCGCATAGAAACATCAGGGGATAAAAAATCGGACGCGGAAGTGACGCCCGCCAAAAAAAAAAACGAGGCGGGGCAAAACAAAGTGGGGAAGGGCACCTTAGACGTCGCCTACGCGTAGCCGTAGTGACGCACCACGGTGGAACCCCGGTGGACCACCGGCGCTCCGCCCCGACTGAGAGACTGACTCATCGGTACAGACTGAGCAACACGTCGCTGTTGTTGTTGTTTCAATGGCTTTCGGGTCTCCGTTTCCTTAGCGTCGACGCCTCCCACTCTGGCTCGAGAGGCACGTGTGACACCCTGGCGCTGGGTCATCATGTGCAACTTCATCGCCGCAATCTCCCCTTCCAAGGCAGCAAGACGCTCAGCGTCAAGGAGAGACGGCAGAGCCGAAGCATCGTTAAAGACAGCGTCTACCGCAAGCGCAGGCATGGGTTGAGGCAAACCTCGCCCCGCCGTTCTGCCAGATGTCAAATTCACATCGGTTCCCACGGGAACACTGGCTGGTTGCTGTTGTTGCTGTTTTTGTGACTGTAACGGTGGCGGTGGCGGTGGCGGTGATGTTGATAGCGTCAGCTGCGGGTATTCTAGTGTTGTCCGGTAGGCATCCCGTAGTTGGGCCTTCAACAGGGAGTTCAGATCAACAAGTGATTGCTTCTCGCTTGCTAATGCGTCCACGTCCTGACGCGTGAGCTGTAACTCCTTTGTCAGCCCATCACGTTCCCGAATGAGATCACGAAGGTGTTGCTCCAGCTGCAGATACTTCCGCCGCCACAGCTCCGCCTCCCGCATCGAGACGGCATCTCTCTCTGCTTCCTTGTATGACTTTTTTTCGGTACGCCGGTGTCTATCCTTCCTATGTGTTTCATCTGTGCCACTTTCCTCGTCTTTTGCCGCTAGCTTGGCAGGCGATGCTCTACCCCGCTGCAGCTGCTGCTCCTTGAGGGCCTTTCGCATACGTTCATAGGCCTCCTTTACGCTTTGGTACTCCTCGCGAAGGCGTTGGTCCTCCTGTTCTCGCTGATGCAGCGCCGCTGTCTCCATGGACCGTGCCCGCAGGATCTCCAGCTGATACCGCGAGGATTCCTCCTCCTTCTCACGGATTGCGTCGCGTAGACGCTGGGCATCGTCCCGGGCTCGCAGTAAGTCCTCTTGTAACTCTTGCACACGGCGCTGCGCCTCCTTCGCCGACTTTACAACGGGATCGTTTTGTAGCTCCATAGTAAAGGAAGCTACTTGTTCGCGTATCGCCGCATTTGTGTGCTCCAGCTCTAGTACCTTTCGCTCCAGCGCCTCCTTCTGGTGGCGTAGGCTCTCAAGAAGTGCCCGCTGCCCGTTGGTATCCTCTGCAAGGTGAAAATGCTCCTCTAGTGCTTGGCGTGCCGCCTCACTAGCGTGCAACTCCCGCGACAATCGCGCCGACTCTGACTGGGATCGCTCTTGAAGCTCAAAAAGACGCTTCTTCAGTCGTTCCACCTCCTCCTTTGCGTCCGCCACCTCACGAGAGGCGTCAATAATCTTTTCTTCCGCAGAACGCCGCAATTCTTGTGCGTGGGTGGCAGTACGCTGCTCCTCCTCACGACAGTGCTGAAGCTCCCGGCGCAGACGTTCAATTTCCTCTCCACTCTGAGCTCGCTCCTTTTGAGAAGCCTCAAGACGAGCCTGGAACTCGCCTATACGACTAGATGTCGCGTCGCCTTGCTTCCGTGTCTCATCCAGTTCGTCTCGCACCCGTTGTAACTGCAGCGTCAATTGCCGTTCAGTGTCTGCCCAAGTTTGACGTTGCTCTTCCATCTGTCGCCCCGCCTGCCGATAGTTTTCTTGCAGTTGAAGACTTTCATCCATAAAACGTTTTGCCTCGTTGTCTCTTTCTATTCGAGCCGCCTGCAAGCGCTCCTGCAGTTCCGTCACTTGCGACTGTAGTTGACCGCACTCTATCTCTAACCTGGTGGCTCGTCGTGTTTGCTGGCGCATGCCGTCCTCCACGGTGGCAATGCCTTGTCCCATAATGGTACTGCACTCATTCAATTTCGCCTCGAGATTTCTTTGCTTTTCAGCAGCTTCTGTCATGGCAAGCTCATGTTGTTCTTGGAGTGACGCATGTTCATGCTTTAACAAAGAAAATGCCTGGGAGGTCTCCGCGTAACGAGACTCACATGCCGCCTTCTCACGCTGGATGGCATCCATCGCTTTAGCGGATGCATTCAGTTTCTCTTCTAGTCCCTTCACCTGTTGGCTCCACTTCTTCTCTAATTCTTCTGCAAGTATTTTACTCTTATCCGCCGTCTCTGCCTGGATGTCATCAAGTGCTTTAAATCGATGTAGGTATTCTTCATGCAGACGCTGCTTCTCCGACTCTAGCGCTGTCTCCTTGCGGCCAAGCGTCTCCTTTAACTCTTGCTCCTTCAGCTGGTACTTGTGCTGGACACCCTGCAACGTTTGTTCACGTTCTACCTCCGCCTCACGAAGTTGTTGCCGCAGTTTATTAATCTCCTCCTCAACACCCTCCAAACGCTTGGCTGCCACCGACCCCTCAGACTTGTGACGTCGCAACTCGTCATACATAACCTGCAACTGTGTCGCAGCCTCCTCTAGCGCCGCGTCGCGGTCCTTTATGAGTTCATAGTTAAATTGATAATCCTCTTCTGTTTTGCCTAGCTGCATCCGCAGCGCCTCTAGTTCCTCCTCGCGGCGCTGCAGTGATCGCTCAAGCGTCATAATACGATGTTCTACCACGCTTCGCAACTCCACCTGCTTCTGCTCAATCTCCGCGTACTCCGCGGCGGTCGTAGAGGAGTGTGGAGAGGTGCCCGCCAGCCCCGCTGCTGGCGAAGGAGGAGGAACAACAGCTGCGACGGGGGCAGCAGTGATGGTTGTGGTATATGCCTGTGAGGATGTCATTGCCATAGGGCTACGTATGAATGCGCCGCCAACGACGGTGGCAGAGCGTCCTGCCGGGGACGCTGCGGATGCGTAGTGCGGTGGCGGGACCGGCGATGAAAGTGGCGGGAGTCGTGGTTCCTCAGCGCACGCATCCGCCACGTTGCTCCCGACGAAGTCCCCCATGCCGTGTTGTTGCCGTTACCCCCCCCCCCCCTTACTTCTTACTCTCTCTTTTTTTTTTTTGCTACTTGCCAATTCGCAACAAACCTGTTGCGCGCCGCCGCGTTGCCCCCTAAAACTCGCAGGCAGCCACTGACACACTTTTGCCCTGGGCGAGCCGAGGACTTCCCCCGCTCAGGAAAGACGGGAATCGCAGGAAGTAAACAGAAGCGGCATCAGAGAGAGGTCAGTCACGGGGCACGGAAAAGGCAGAAACACACGAATAGAACACACATCAGTAGCAGGGAGTGGAACAGAAACAAGAAACGGTGGAACGGTGTCATCTTTATTACTACTATTATTTCACCGTGGAAAATGAGAAACGCACAGGTGCACAGCAGGGGAAAGTAAAGATGCACTACTACCACAAAAAATCACTCGAGAAAAATCCACTTATACTTCTCCACCTCCTTCTAACGATTGTGTCGGGAGACTCAGCAAAAGCAGCCGTTCCCTGACCTCGGGGAACGTGAAGGGGGCTCTAAGCGCCTAACCCCACGTGCTCCCACGACTCCGCCAGCCGAGGATGACTTCGCCAAGCCATGTTCAAGCAGCGTCTGCGCAAGTTTGACAAATACATCCTCTACATTCTCGTTCTCCTTGGCGGATGTTTCGAAGAAGCCATTCACACCTTCCTCCCGCGCAAGTGTTTCTCCTTCTTCAAAGGAGACCTGCCGAAGCGACTCCAGGTCCTTCTTGTTCCCCAGCAGAAAGATGACAAGGGTCGGGTCCGAATTAGCGCGCAGCTCACGTAGCCACGTCTGGGCCTTCTTGAGGCTATTCACGCTTGTGATATCATAGACAACCAACGCGCCACAAGCACCACGGTAATAAATGGGTGCAAGGGAGCGATACCGCTCCTGCCCTGCCGTGTCCCAAATCTCATACTTCACGGATGTACCAGCCGTCGAGTCAGGCGCAGAAGAGGAGGATGAAGTTGGCACGGTCACCGTTCTCGGAAGAAAAGCCGCGCCAACAGTAGTCTCTTGATTGGGATAGAACTCGTTACGGGCAAAGCGCAAGGCGATGGAGCTCTTGCCCACGGAAGATTCGCCAAGGAGAACAATCTTGGCAGTCACCGTATCGCCCTCTGGAGGTAGCTTTGTCGTTGTCGTCATATGCGTTCGTGCTGTTACTGCTGGGGATTGTTCCAGTGTGGCTCTTGTTACTTGCTATCCCTCGTTCTAGTTTTGATAGCCACTTCCGGTGTGCGAAGCAACTCCAAGTTCTAGGTGTGAACGTGAGAAGGGAGAGGAAACAATGGCTCCAGGGCCGAACACACAGCCGCAATAACGTGCAGAACACACACACAACAACGCCATACCTGAAACAACAACCCTGCGTACAACATACGCTTGGATGGACGTCCATTTCCCCCTCCATCCCCAGAAAGAGAAAGAACAATAGAGGAAGATGGCGGCTCGTGACAGTGCGCCCAGCATGCTCCAATTTCGAGAAGAGCCATCCAATGCGCACAGACACCAACAACAAAACAATACAAGAAAAGGCTCATATATAGGTCTCTTAATAATGGCTGGGATTGCGTTAGAAACTCACAAAATGGCTGGCGCTGGTGCCTCCTCACCCGTAACCGCCGGTCCTCTCCGCGTGGGGAGTATCGGGGCGGGCAAGAGTGAAGAAGAACTGCACTCACACCGCCTTTCAACGCAGCAGCGTCAACGGTTTTCCTTTTTTTTTTTAAAGGCGTGCAGGGCAGATGAACACGATGCGCACTCATTTTATAACCATCAAATTGCACATTATTTCAAACGCTTAAAAAAAAAAACAATAACAATAATAATAATAATAATAATAATGGCACGGCAGCAACAGTGCAACGGCCGCGGTGTACGAGGTGCCCTCCACCCGATTCACGCGGCGCTAGAATAATAATAATTTTCATTTACTCAGAGCTTAAACAACGCGTGTCAGCAAGAGCTGAAATTCCTGAGCGATCGGAGCTTCCGTTCTTCATTTCGCTGCGCTTATTGCAACACGGGTGCCCACATGTGGGTATGCAATGCCCGCGTGTAGGTGAGAAACACAAACGGCCACTTACCCCCTACTGCATTTCAGCGACGAGAAATGGAAAAGGAAGGCACCCAACAAAAGTGCACACGTATGTGCAGCAAGCGGAGAATGAAATTGCCGCGCAAAGAGCAAATACTACATATCAGAAGACGTGCTGCACCGCAACTGCATCAACACCACGAAGCATACCCACAGTGAAACCACCCACACCGCGCCTCATTACACCGTCCAGTTACAGGATGGTACATTCCGTATTTTCTTTCCTATCTTCGGAGATCTTCCTTGTAAGTTGCGGGGCGAGCCCCTTAACCACGTCGTCTGGCACCACTTGTTGCTTCCCAATATATACAATTGAACCATCCCCCACACCCGCCTCCTTCAATGTCGCGGAAAGACGTGGAGCAAACACAGAAAACCCGTCGCTGCTGTGCGGCCGCCGGATCACATGCACCATCCATGCACCTTTCGCATTGTTCACGGCCATACTCTCAAGCGCCGCCTGACTAACGGCAAGATCCAGCAAACGACCCACCACCATTAAACGTGGAAAATACATGAAAAATGGGGCAACACCAAACTCCTTTGCAAAAAGAACAAGTGGAGTTACGGCGCCCTCAGCACGCACCCCAAGAGCCGTGCTGGGAGTGTTACGCGGAAAATTTTTAGACAGTGATGAAGGAGAAGCAGTGGTCGACGTTTTGGCGGAAGAAAGCGTCGCCTTTTGCGACGTCCTCTGTAAAGAAGCAGCAGTGCGAGGCACCCGAGACTTCCGGCAACGGTGACGCACGGGAGCACGATGCTCAATGCAGTACATATTGCCACAGTCCTCACAAATGATAGCAGCCACATCGTTCTTGTGGCAGTCCGCATAGCTGCAGTAGTTCATCCGATCTTTTTGACCATTCGGCAGCAACTGAGTATTGCGACAACCTCGATCAATATGTCGCGACACAGCCTCGTCAGGTGGTTGTCCAGGGCGCTCGAGTGGCACGCTTTGAAGACAGATGGGGCAGGTGAGAGGCTGAGCATTGAAGACGCTACAGGTGTGGGCGACCACGGTGGTGTGTTCGGCGCAAAACATCCCGCCGCAGAGTCTGCAACGAGAGGCAAGAGGATCCACCTCAGTACATCCCTGAAACGTGCAGCGCTTCGATTCATCATCGTTAACCCCAACCTGCATCGTGTCGGCTTACGCCCATCCTGCCCACGAAGAGCAATCCAAGTAATCCAAGTAGAAAAACCAAGACAAAAAAAAAAACAGAGTTCAAGAGAGGCTGAGAGCGAAAAATGCAGAGAAAACCCATATGGCAATTGGTACACTATATACGCATTCAAAAACACGTATGCAAGTAAAGCTAGAAACAGCCAAAAGAAGAAACGCTCGTGGTATATGGTCTTCAGACACCCCCACAGAGAACCAGCAAGAACTGTTCCCTAACGATCACATCAAAGGGGTCTCCTTGAATATCTCTCCAGGCAGTTTTCGTAGGTTGCTTCATTCAGCGTTGGGGGTCGCAACGCATGACAGCGTATTACGCTGAGTCGACACCTAAAAAGGCAAGAAGACCGAACGCGCGAAGTGAGGCATCTACAGCCAATTCAAGCTTTGAACTACTCAGCGTCGCGCTCAGCCACCACGGGCCTTCTTCGCCTGCCAACTTGCCACCCACAAGACCGACAAGAACGCCTCCAACCAACACATTTTCCGCGAGCATTTCACAAATGCCTTGCGTAGATGGTTGCATCCACGCTGTCGATGTGAGAAGCGTGTGAAGTGGTCCATCGCTACGAACAAGAGGTAGCACATCTGTCGCAACGTCAACAAAAGAAGTTCCTTTATTATCAATACTACAGTTATTATCATTATTACTATTAGCTGTGGTAGTAGTAGTGACCACAGATGTCCGATGCAAAATGACACGCCAGTAATCCTGCAACCAGATAAACCCGTTTGAAAGCAATTGTCGTACAAGCTCTGGGTGATTTGCCACATCCAAGACTATTTTACGCGTTCGCATACAAGGAGCGAGATATGAGGCGGATTCAACAACCGCCCGCCAGCGGCACTGAGCATTAAGCAGAAACCTGTCATCGTACGCCTCAAAGGCACGGACGCCCACGGAGACAATCTCGACGCCAGGTCCTTTGTACGGCCGCGTCTTAAAAAGCATGCGGGCAGTGGCAACTGTCACAAGCACTATCCGCCGACACGCGGCGCCATTAGGGTTCAAATGGTAGAGCGGCACAAGACCAGCACCCACGAGTTGCTGGTCTTTATTCTCCAAAGTCGTACTGTAGTACTGAAAGGTGTCTGTGCAATCTGGGTCAATCCCGTAGAATGCGACGATATTACACCACTCAGAATCGTGCCTGCCCACAGGAGCCCAAAACTTTCCCTTCGTCCAGTGATTCAGCTTCTCATAAAGCGTCAACGGCGGGGCCAAATCCGGCAACGACCGTTTCCGAAAACAGGCTACAAAAAAGCCACCGGTGTCATCGCGATGGGGCAAAATGCGCAGAACCTTCCGGCCATCAAAGGTTGAGGGCAAGATGGCTTTCTGCAAATGATCCACGTTGGGAGACACGACGCCGCCAATGGAGTGCAGGACCGCACCCTTTTCTCGTAAAATAGCGTTTACGTCAAGAAGCTCAATGGTATCTCCAAACAACTCTAGCCCTGCACACACAACTTCTTCATCTTCCTTTGGGTTCATGCTACAGGTACTGTAAACAAGGATACCACCCTCCCGAAGGAGATCTAATCCGCGTCGTAGCAGCGCCTTTTGTGTTGGAAAAAGAGATTTGACATATCCAGAACTCCACGAGCTGGCTGATGCAGGTTCCTTGCGAACGGTGCCATCGCCACTACACGGAACATCACAAATGATGCGGTCAAATCGCTTCTCTGCATATGAGGGCCCCTCTTCAGAAGAATAAAAAATCCTTGGCCATTGAGAGGCATCACAACGTGTGCAAATCGCATTTGGCGCATGAAAACGCTTCAAACGAGATGGAAGTATTTGTGTAGCCTTCACACGATCTTTTTCATTCACAATAACCACACCCTGTGAAACAGCGGACGTGGACCACCCGTACTGTAACATCTCATCCAGCACTTGCAGGGTCTTGCTTCCTGGTGCAGCACACATGTCCAAAACCGCATGCTGCGGCTGGATGTCTGCCACCATAACTGGCAAGACTGAGACGGTTTCCTGAAAGGAAACTGCGCTGGCGGCGTGTAAAGTTCGACAAATATACTCAGCCCGGCTTTTTTTATGATAAAGATCATGGGAACAACCGTAGAGACCAATGCGAGGAGGAAGTAAAGGGGTTATTGATTGCACTACCTCACGCAGCATTGGATCGTGCAACAGAAACTCGAGAGCAATATGCTTCAAGACCCGTTCGTTGCAGTGCACACGTAATGTCATGGGAAGTGGTGAGGAAAGGCACGAGAAAAACTTCTGCCACTCGAGTTGGATGTCCTCCGGGCTGACGCACCCCAGGAGGGAGGCAAAACGGTCTTTTGCATAGTACTTTATCAGTGGAGCGTTTTCATCGAGGGGGGCCACACTCCCAACATTTCGCCGCCGCTCGTGCACATTCACTGGGGCAGTCGCCTGAGCAATCGCAAAGCACAACTCCGTCACATCGATCCTTTCAGGCGTTGATTGACTGCGCGGCACACGACGTGCAACAGCCAATACATCCTTTTCACATATTCCACTCCCAAGCTCCTTGCAGAGTCGACTTAATCCATCGCCCTCAATAACGTGGACGTTGTCCCCGCTGTCACCGTCCAGCGGGTGTAGTGTCGAGAAGGCCTTCAAGTAGCGCAAGGGCGCAGAAGTATCATCCTGTGGGGAAATGTTTGCGATAAGAGCGGAAAGTGCAGGCAACAGGGTTTCACGCTCCCGTTTCCGTCGTTGTTCACGCCGATTCATATTTTTTTTTCTTTTTGAATTTCCCTTACCACTGCAGCCTTACCACCTTTACAGCAGCAACCTCAAAAATACGCACCCTTCCGCTTGCCTTCATCAAAAAAAAAAAAAAACGCGACAAGAGCCATGTGATAACGTAATAAGAAATACACGTATATCAGAGAATATGAAGTTTCTCATTTCGAATAGAAGCCACTGCAACAAACGTTTTGTCCAATAGCCGCACAATGATCATTAAAAACAGGACCACAGAGGATGCCATATTAGACCTCCCAAAACTCTTTCCCCTCCTTGTTTTTGATCTCGCGATCAACTCCGTGGCGCAGTAGATAGCGACCCAGTTCTTCATTATTGTCCATGGAGGCGTAAAATAAGGTGGTGTTACCCCGGTAGTCTTGTAGATTCATCCACCGACGGTGTTCTGCACGGCTGTGCACTTTTTGACTTGTCGCTACAAGCTCTTCTACAACATCAGTTGCACCGCGACTCGTAGCACGATGGAGTGCGGACTGCCCACGCCTGTTCTGATGATCAATTGAGGCCCCTAATTGCAACAAGAAGCGCACAATGGCAAGTTTGCCTCGCCCAGCCGCGTGCAAAAGTGGTGTATTCCCATGGCTGTCAGCTTGATTGAGAATAACTAACTCCTGTTCCATAAGGGGGTTGTCAACAATCGCAGCTCCACGCAAACACACATCCGCCGTGGCATTCTCCAGAGTAGTATTCATACCGTCTTGCTCCCGAATCACCTTCCAGCTTCGCTGCGCTGCCGCTGTCTCCAGGAGTTCGCGCAGAAACTCTTCTGGCGCGGCAACCATGCAGGCCGTTATAAACGGCGATACCCCGTCATGATCCTCGCTCAAGGCAAGAGCAAAATAGGGAGCTTTCATAAGCGTATGAGCCAGCGCGAAATTCTGCATGGCTACTGCCCAGTGAAGAGCGGTCCTGCCATCATCGTCCTGATAGCCCCAAATCCCTTCAAAGGTGCATCGCATCCGCTCATGTGCATCTCTCGTGAAACCAGAAGCAACAGGGACTTCCTCCTTTTCCTCATCAGTGTCAAAATTTAGTCGCTGTGGGCACAACTGCTTAAGCTGTTCTACAATGGGGCCCACCTCACTGGCCTTACAAAGCTCCGACAGGTGCGAGCTCATGCTGCCACCCTTTGCAAAGTCCACACATGAGGCGCCGAGGCAAGAGGAAAAAAAAAAGATATAATAATACAGGAGAAATATATATAACAGAAAGAGCCGAGACACAGCAACAGGGAATGGCAGCTGCTCACCTCCTTAGTTATTAATTGCATCCATCCCTTTTCGCTCCTTTTTTATTGGTCGTCTCATACTCTACAAACGTCAATGCTGGAAAAGAAGAAGAGAGGGTAAATGCACGGGCATGGCAGGCACTCATCCAGCCTTCTCGCCTCGCCCAAACCAATTCCAGCGGCAGCACCCTCTATCAAATACATAGTGTACATACGACAATGGAATAAGGAAGAAGTTGCCACAAAAATATTAGAAAATGTATGCATACATAGAAGGCAAAAAAAAAAGGACAAAAAAAAATGTCGATTGAGAAAAAAAAGAATTATAATAAAGTCAGCCGGTTTTTTTTTTTGTTCTGAGAGAGAAAAAAAGAGGGATGAAGATGTTGTTTCTACCCGTTATTATCGCAGTTGCGTCGCAAAATACCCCCCTCTCACTCCTCCCCAGACTGAATCCAATACTTCCTGCATATTTCGGCACACTCTACTGACAGCCGCATGTTGGGCAGCAACTCCACCATCATCTCAAAAAATGGAATAATAATGTAATTCATGAAGGCAACCTGCCCCTTGGCGAGAGCAGGCTGTAGGCGGTTCATGAACGGGCTACACTCGAAACCTAAGTTCCGCTCCCGATCCCCTTGAAGATAAAACTCATCCGACACCTTGGCGCTCCATTTGAGGTAAATATCAAGCGGCCGACCACAGTTTGAGACGTCAGCTAGTTTCAGCGCCATGGCTAGAGCAAGATTTTGGTCTTCGCGGTCTGTAAAACTCGCTCGTTCATCAAGACGCCGTTTAAGCCGCGCAATATACTTCCCGTGCAAACTCATATCTGTAGCTAACACCATGTCAATAACTGTTTCCCTAATTTCCCTCCATTGCTCATCAGAAAAACTCTCAAGAATGTTAAATCTTGGATTTTTCATCAGCTCAAACACGCTTGAAACGTGCAAATTCTCCAGCACACTGCGATCATTGTAAAGTATTGCGTTATACGATTGTGTCTTAACGTGAAAGTTGTTATTCACACCAGGGTGATTGTAATCGTGTATAGCAGCCGCAAAAAGAACTGCAAACACCTGTAGATCGGATAACTGACAACGTTTTGCCAGACCCCCCTTGCTTAGTATGTAGTGGGTGATATGCAGAACATCCGCAGCATGCATGGAGTTGTGGTATGGATTGCCATTATATCCTGCCTCTACAGTACTAATCCAGTTCAACGCAATCTGTTCATCAATGTTAAACTTGAAAAGAAGGTTATACTTTATCAACAGTGCGTACATGGTTATAAAAAGTGAACCACCCTTTGTTTGAAGATGCAGTGACGCAAAATCATCCCCAGTCATGGCCCTTTGAACATCAAAAACGTTATAGTCCCAGTCATCTAACTTATCTAGGGCTTCCCATACAGCCTCCTGCTGTCTGTTAGCAAACATGGGGACTCGACCACGCAGCTCAGTCAAAGTAAGAGGCATAATGACGTGTTTATGTGCGGAATTCGAGTCAATATCAGACTTAGTCACCCATCGACCTTTGATGATAGCAAGGAGTTCAGGGTCATACGGCCTGCACTCCTCCTCTCCAAGTGGTTGTCGAATACAACCTTTGGTGGGGGCCTCCGCAATGCTTCTACCCCGCCCGCAGGTGTCTCCTCTATTTTCTGCTGCAGCAATCCGGCCGTCATTTGCATTCAATGTATAGTTGGCGATCTTTTCCTGCATTTTCTCGATGCGTTGGGTATTGTGAATGTCGAGTTGTCGTTTCCACAGAAAACTTTCCTTCAAAACACAAACCTCTCTTTCCGCCTGTTCTACCCTCATTTTGGTTTGGAGAAGCTCCTCTGTCAGCGTGGCCAGCTGCTGCTCGTGCACCTTTGGATGGGCCTGCAGTTGATAAGCATCCACTAGCGCCTTCACAAGAGTCGGCATCAAAGGTGCATCCACCTTGCTTACAGTAAACTTCACCACACAACCTTCACCGTCGTTTCCGGTGCCAGAGACATGACACGACACCGCCGCAGCAGCTTCGCCTACCCCCTGCACCTTTACCTGGCCAGTGATGAAGGCCTCACGCACTAAACCAAAGAATTCCGACCAACTGACGTGTTCCCCAAGAGTTGCCTTCACCACGGAAAGACCCTCCTCGTCAAACTCGTCCTGGTAACACGCCCCGCTAAGGGTCACTACGCAGACACGAAAGCACTCAGCCTCGTCATTCATTTTTGCCATAACTGAGCACTGATCCGTCGTTGTTGCAAACAGGCTGGGACACATATGCAGTTCTATAAGCATCGCCATCTTTACTCGATTTGAATGCTTTTATATATTTTTTTGCGGCGGCAAATGCAGGTAAAATAAGGATTAAAAATATATATAATAATAATAAACGAAATGGGGAGGAAAAGAATAATGCGTGAAGCAGTTTGTCCATTTTTTTTCTGTTTGTTTTGTTTCCTGCTCCGTTTATATAACTGTCCGGAGCGCGCATTCATGCCCACAGCAGGCACGCCGGCCGTGTGGGAAGACGGGGAGTGAGAGAAAACACAACAACACATAAAGAGAAGACTACAAGGGCAAAAGCAACAAAGAGTGCGTACCGCTTGAGCCCATTCTCAACGGGGCTTAGGGTGTTAGTTTGCAGTGAGAAATAGGTATGCGGGCGCGGTGTCACCGTGCCCGATAGAAAGTTGGTGCCGCTCAGAACAAATGCGCAGACACAGAGAGGAAGAAATATATATATATATATAAAAGAGAGATTTCAACACGAAAAGACGCAAACAGACTAGACACTGATGCGGAAAGCAAATTTTTTTAAAACAAAAAAAATTATTAGTCAACAGCACGTCCTACGGTCAGACTGGCACAAAAATACAGGGGCAGACCCGAGGAGCCAACACTCATGCATCCGCAAGACATATACGTGTGATATATACACGCATATATATATATATATATGAAAAATGTTTCGTTTTGTTTCGTTAAGCACATACAAAATGTCTCGGACTATTACTATTGATCACTCTCGCCCTCCTTCTTTTCCCCTCTCAAATGAAAATTCACGCACAAAAAAAAAGTTTAATCCCACCAAGCAAAAACACTGTGTGCACTCAGTCTCACCCTTCTAGCAGCACTCGCAGGCATTTGGATACATTAACCCAAGACCCTTGTCACATCTTCCGCGCTGCGCTTTTCATCACGTTCCTAGGATGTCTTAAACGAATTTGCTCTCCTACATTCGACCCTTGATTAATGTTATCAATTCTCAATGTGCATGCGTATTTCCTTTCCTTATCTCTCTCTCTCAACTCTAATATGTATATATATATATATACATGCATGCATGTCCCAGTGGTGAATAGGCACGTTTTCCCTTCATAAATCGATGTCGCAATCTCAAACGGCCCCCCCAACCGAAAAACCCTTAAAAAAAAAAAAAAAAAAAAAAAATACATGCAAGCACACCCACAGGCTCACACTAGCATATAATGTAAATATGTATACGCACACGTATGTGTATGTCCCAAGGTTCCATGATCAAACAGCGAAGCAAGCGATCTTCCGGAGAAGTTTAACTACGCCATTATCCCCATGATTTTCATTTCTTTTTTCTTCAATATCGGTCAAGTTGTTGGATATGTACGCCGCCTCGACTGCGTACGCATTCATTTCCCCGTCCCTCCCCATCAGCATTGTCTTCACGCACCGTGAGAGTCCGCGAGGACTCGGAGATAGAGAGAGAGATGAAAAAAAACCCTCGGCTTTGCACGTAGCTCAGCAGCAAAGCAAGCATGAAGCACAAATACAGGCAGAAAGAAAGAATCACAGAAAGAGTCAAAGACCGAGTGCTGGCAACAGCGGAAGCAAAAACGATAAAAATAAAAGAAAGACACAAGGAGAATGGAAGCACAAAAAAAAAGTACTTTCGTGCTACTTCAGTGCTACAGCGGAAAGCTCCTTCCCATTATACTCCCTCAGCCCCCTCAAAACTGCATATAAGTTAAATATATCCCCCAAATCCATTTGTTTGGTTAAAAATTGCTGTCGCCGGTACTGTTGTTGTTCTTCCTGTTCCCTCCTTTCGTTCCTTTTATATATATATTTTTTTTACCTGTTTTACGCAGCATGCTTTAGAAATCAACAATAGTGACAAACAGGAGCACTACGCCCTGGTATACTCCCCGTCACAAAACCCTGCAAATAGCTCTTGTTGTTTTGCCGTTAGCGGAGGCAACGGATGATGGGGACTTTCCGGATAGCGGTCAAAGTAACGTGTATCCCCATCCTTCGTTGGACGCACAGGAATGGGGGGAACTACATTTTTCTGCAACAGCACCTCCCAATCTACTCCGCTGTAAAATTTGTGTCTTTTGACGTCTTGGGTGCCCCAATTCAGCGAGCCAAGACGCTTTGTGGGGTCAAGCACCAATAGACTCTTGATGAGATCTTTTGCCCGCAGCTCCACCCAACGCGGAAATTGCACCCTGCCCTCCAGAATCTTTTCATAAATTTTAAATGGGCTCTCATCAAAAAAAGGCGGATAACCAACAAGCATTTCATACAATAAAATGCCAAGCGCCCACCAATCTACAGCTTTACCATGGCCTCTACTTTGAATCACTTCCGGAGCCAGATACTCTGGGGTACCACACAGTGTAAAAGTGCGTTCGCTCACACGCTTAGCAAACCCAAAGTCGGTAATTTTAATGTTCCCTTGTTCATCCAATAACAAGTTTTCCGGTTTTAGGTCGCGGTACACAATTCCGCAGCTGTGAAGATACTCAAATGCCAAAATCACCTCTGCCGAGTAAAACTTTGCCACATCGTTGGGAAATTTTCCTGCCTTTCGCAAATGAGTAAAAAGTTCACCACCTGCCACAAATTCAAGAAGAAGATACAATCTGTCATCGTCCATAAAACCCTTGAACATATTTACAATAAATGGATGATTGAGTTCTTGTAATATACTCGACTCCGCCAAAATATGTTCAACTTGCTTCATACGGAGTACCTCCTGTTTTTTGAGTATTTTTAGAGCCATGTATCTCCCAGATGACTTGTGCCTACAAAGGCGAACACGACCAAAGGTTCCTGTGCCTATCGTTTCGCCCAATTCTAAATCATGAAGCTTCCATCCACTTACATCCTCCCTTCTAAGGTCCACACTAGGCTTCATCACTTTATCCCCACCTTGCCGCTCCCTATCCACACAAGCACACACGCACAAAATAATGTGAGAAAAACCTAATTAAGTTGAAGATCCCAATTTATATTGCTTAACAAGCTGACAAATCCAAAAAAAAAAGAAGGGAAAATCGTCTTTGGCCTGTACTTATAGACTCCTGGGGTTTGGATTAACTCCTCTTCCCTCTTTCTTTTCCGCCTTTACCCCTTGTGGATCTGACGTGCGTAATGGTTTGCCGTCACTAAGCAAGCTTCCTACAAGCTACCAATCAACAGCAATAAGAAAACACAATTATATACATACATTTTATTTATAAGCACGACTTGAACGTTTTTCCACTTAACCAAAGGCACATGCAAACTCTCATGCCAGTAATAAAATAAATAAACAAGTTGATCACTGCAATATATCCCTTCACGACCACACATCACAAAGACCTATTCTGATCACTAAGCAAAAAACTTGGCCAGCTTTAATGCTCCCGACTCTGTGACAGAGTTCCACCCCTTGTCAATACGTTGCGTTGCGGAAGCGTTTCCTTTCACCCGTTCCTTCAGCTGAGAAAGTAGATCCTGATCCCCATTACGACGACAATCTGCCCCAGCTTCTTCCCAATCACCGCACAATACATAATATTCCATTCGTTGTTCAATTTGAGAGATCTTGGGTATATATTTCTTGGCTTGTTCTGGGCGCCCACAAGCAAGTAGTGTATTAATAAAAGCGGGAGCTCCAATCACTGGCTTGATTTTACTTCTGACGTCACCAAGATGGTCAATAAGTCCCCATTGCGACATCGTCGTGTATGCATTCAACCTGCACCAACAATACATCTTGTCAGACACACCAAATTCTCTTTTTAGACGCCCTGCCACCCCATCACAACCATGTTCATAGCATAGAGATATCGTTTTCATGACTGACGCGTTTAGAAAACGTTTATCATTGTATACCTTCATCAGTTTTGTCTGTTCATCCAGGAGTTTCATATGTAAATGAATTTTATTCTCATTTAATTGAGAATATTGAGAAACCCCACTGAATACTCCAGTGGAAGGAAATACATTTCTTCCAATACCTGTATTAGCTGCATTAGCGAAAATTTCTCGTTTAACTGAAATGGCAACGTTTTCAAGAGCTGTGAGCTTTTTTTGTTGCAATGTCTCCCAATTACAGTCAGACTCCAAGAGTAATCGTTTCAGTTCTTCCTCCTCCTTCAAGTAATGTCGAATATTCACATAGGTTTTGTGCTCTGGGTGTGTTTTATGATACTCCATAAAAAGTTCTCGATATCCTTCACAAACAGTGATGTATAAAAGAAAAATCTTTTCCGTAGTCGAATCACTCGTTAGTAGAGGAATAACCTCAGTACCCCGATGCGAAATAAGGTACATCATGGCTGTAAACACTAGATCTGCATCTCCACTTTTAACAGCTTTCTGAAGAGCAAGCTCAGGTTGCTTAATCTCTAATAATTTCGGTATTTGCACTGAAGCAATCTTCTCAGCTTCTAAAAGCAACAATGCGGCATGTGTTTTTTGTTTTAGATATACTTTGTAAGCAATTTCAGCATGTAAATTTTGGTTAACCTCATTCAATTTTTCAATTACATCAAGCGCCAATTGTTTTTCCTCCGCCACAGTTAAAGAATGTTTGGTTAACTTTGCCAAGGCCCATTCCGTCATCACTCTTCGTGTGCTAAACCCTAAATAATCGCATACGCAATACGCCAATTGATGCTGATCCATTTGCACAAGTCTGTCAGCTAAACGATCTCCCTCCAAAGATAAAAGTTGTGCCTGTGACATTAACATACCTGCTTTACTGTTACGTAATGCATTCAAAACACGAAGTCTTCGAACCATATTTACAAAGAAATCAGATTCGTACATTGAACAAAATGATTTTCCAAAAGCAGCTACACGCATTAAACGTTTTTGTTGTGAGATGCTCAGCTCAAATCCAGCAGCTGCAATACAATCATTCACTGTTTCGGACATTTCCGTATAATTTCCTTGTAAATCTCGAATCAGCTTAACAGAGTTTGTGCTACCGCACATAAATTCATCAAATGCGAGTAACAGCATGGCAGAATTAGCTCGAGATCCCACAGAAAAAATACGGCGACTTGGGGCAGAAACCACCTGAAGAAATTGATAGGAGTCAGCTGAAAAAATCCGAATACCATCACACTCGGAAACTAAATAGGGAGAAGGAGGAATATCATTCAAAAAATCCGATTGAGCAGGGTCATCCACATTAATCAACGTTAATGTTGTTGCAGACTCAATGGTTTCATCAAATTGTCTAGCCAAATGCAAGTATGTAATACATTTATCTCCACACCAAAGAAATTGAACCGGTAAAACATCTAGTTCTATGTTGATCAGACGAGTAATATCTTCAAATGAACGTGAGGTGACGTAAAGCGTCCCATTCTGAACTAAAAAAGCGACAGCTTGACCATTTGGAGAAAGTGCCATATGAACCACATTACCTCCATCTATAGATAGGCAAAGATCATAACAACGAGGAGTATTAGCAAAGGCACAATGCCAAAAGCTAGAAGCCCCATCATTTGATAAAAAAGGTATAAATAGCTCTGTGTATCCAGTATCACTAAATTGTTGTGGAATGGCCAACATTACCGCAACTTTTTGGTTCTGAAACACCTTTGGAAGATTCAATGAAATCTTCTTGTATTCCTCAGTAAAATGGTAGTCCAATAGAATTAACTGAGGTTCCACATCATTAACCAATAAACCAATCCCATTCCCTGTACTAGCACAGAGTAAAGGCACAGGAACGTTGATAGATGGCGCGGCGGTTTCTCCTGCCAAATTAAAAAATCGTACTTCGCCTGTGTTCAAGAGAACGACAAGATGATCTTTACACTCATTCCAGCACATGAAGAACACACTTTCTATACCATCAAGACGTATGTTTGGCCTCACAGGATGAGGTGCACCTCTTGCATTATACAAGCCAATAATATTTTGAACTTCACTCGAATGAAAATCATCCCCGGAATACAACGCTAAAGGACCACCCGCACTAGAGTACGCAACTTTGAACTCAGACAAATCCCTTTTCAACCCCCACAGTAAATCGTCAAACTCAATAAGCCGCACCACATTTTCCCGATTGAGAGCAATCCAAGCACCAGCTCTAGTCGTCCGCACAAAACCCCTTTGAGCTCCCATATATATTCAATTCTTCTTTGTTTTTCCGTTTTTTCTTTTCTTTTAATTCAAAACTAATAATAATAATAATAACAGAAAAATAAACTGTTCAAGCTACCTTCCTTATTTCTAGTACTATTATTATTATCAATATTTGTTTGATAAATTACTATATTTTTTTTTTCCAGCACACAGAACCACACATATATTTGTGCATTTAAGTTTCCCCCACCCAAGGAAAAAAAAGTGCAAAAGAAACAACATAAATAAATAAACGCCAAACTCGCTTATTTTCCCCCTCATGCTCTCACCAACAAATTTCAGAACATATATACATACATACATACATACATAATATCCCAAGAGAAAGATACGATGTGTATAAAACGGAAACATATGCCCAAGAAAAAAACAACAACAACAACACAATAAATGAAAAATAAAGAAATCTATTTTTATTTGACGAGATTACCGCGCTTCGTCTTCTCTTTGTAGTGGAAAAAAAGAGAAAACAGTCATGGAAAAGGCCAGCTTGTGCAAACGTCTTTTAGCCAACGGAATAAAAGTTATTATGTCATTGTGTTTAACAGAGAATGAAAAGTTAAAAACCACAAGAACATCTCTTCTAAATTCCGTAATAAATCGTGGATGACCATCCTCAGATTGAAGGTCACGGTTTATCCAAAGCTCTAAACCAATAGAGTGAGTTCTTTGCTTTAAAGGTTCTTGAGAAATTGCCACAACAAGTCTTTCAACCGTTTCCTTGTTATTATTTATTAAAACCAGTGAAGAGTTTGATGCATCCATCTGACCCAAATTGCCCTCTATTGTATATGCATAAAAAGCCGGCAGTGTATTTAGTTGGAATCGATCAGACGCAATTGCTGCTAATGTACATATACATTTAGAAGAAGCTGATGCTGTAAGTTGCAAACGTTCATTTTCTTTTAGGCGAATGACCAAGGCAGCTTCTCCATCGTGATGTTTTTCGGTACAAAACAATGCATTTCTTGAACATACATCATAGCGTCTTTCACTTTCTATTCCATTATCATTTCCTTTATGTACATGCAACTGAATCCAGCCTTGATGATGTTTAATATTCTCTTTTTTTTTCCGCAGCACAATCATAATTTCAGTCTCATCTTTTCCCATGTTTGTAAGTAAAAAAGAAGGATTCGTCGCAAAGGTTGAAGAATCTTCTGTTTCTCCAGAGCAATCGCACATATGTTCCACAACATTTTTGTGATTGTTCCATGGATCATTTTGAGGCCAAAGAAGTAAACAAGATTTATTAAAATACGTCAAACAATTCTCAAAACCTATCCAATACCGTGGAAGAGAAGAAATAGGCTCTACCTTTAGATGAGAAACAAAAATTGTATCCTCGCTACTTAGCTTGCTAGGACAAGAAAGTTGTACTATATAGGAAAGTTGCGGTTTTTCCTCCCGAAGTGCCTCTGTGGCCGTTATAACATACGACATGTAGGGTACTATACCTTTTTCCTTCACAGATTCCATCTCCATTGCATTGCGCGGAATAAGTTGAGAAGTTATGATTTTTTTCGAGTTTGTTAAGTCTCTCAGAAATCGAAACAATTCTGTTTCCGTAAAATGTCGCCTTAAAATTTTCCAGTCAATTGCAAAACAAACACCGCCTGTCAATTGTGAAAGAGCAGAACCATAACCCACCCCAGATATTTTATCATATCCACCGTAAAGTTTGGCAAATGCCTTTTCCACCAAGCATCCCCAAAAATCATTGGAATTTTTGCCATGATGAATCCCTGCAGGCTCATCATCTATAAAGGGAATTTGATCATCCACAATGATAATAAGTGAGGAAGATTTTACAAAGAAACGAAATGCAAAAAGTCCCAAGTTCGGAATTCGCCTTACGCAGAGGTGCTTACGAAGATGAGGTACCTGTTGAACGACATTGAGAGCTGCACAAAGGTTCCTTGTATCTGTGTATTTTGCATAATACAAAGGTTTTTCCCCCACACAACAGTTTTCCTGCGTTTTGTTCTCCGTAAGAAGACTGCTCACTCGAACCCACCTCACATTAGAATCTTTCAAAGCCTTTTCAGGTGGAAAATTCTTATCTGTGAAAAGAACACCTTCTTCTGTAACAGAACGTGCAGTATCCCAAAGATCTACACTTTTTACTGAGTTTAGCATAGTCTGTGTAGGTTCAGCTTCATTCTCTTCAGTCCACGACTCAAATCTCCACCTCCATGATCTCGGAGTTTCAGGTCCAACAGCTTTTTGCCAATACGACATTTTTTCTTCATAATGAAGATGATTCATTTCCACTTGCGTCTGAATAGCAATTTCCAAAAACTCCGGTAGAAATGTGCCTGCAAGCTCGACGTGAATTAGATCTCCATAGGCAATGCATAGCTTTAGTAAGGCTTCACCAGCCTGAACACCTAATTCCACATTTTTAAGAATCAATTCCTTTACACAACCGTTACACAAAACGGAGAATAGTTCAATAAGCTGAACTACAGGTATTTGTATTCCACTAAGGTCGAGTTTATCAATGTCATCGCGCCTTTCTAAGAGTGTAATTAGCGATTCAAAATGTCTAGACGAGACCACAAGCAAACTAAGATCGATCTTTTCGGGAGATGTTGCAAACCCATCCTCCAAAGCCCGGATCGGACCTAGACCCCGTTCTACGCAAATTCGCCGATACTCCTCCAGCACCGAGAGCGGGGCCATGCCGCCCCCCAACCTTAACCAACCGGGCCCTAATAAACTAAAAAGAAAAAAAGAAAGAAGCGGACGATATATAAACCGAGCGCGATCCCGCACCCTCGCGGCTATTAAAAAAAGAAAAAACAAAAAAGGTGGGGCCGCCGCTATTCGGGCGGCCCGGCCCGGCAGGAGCCGCCCTCGGGCGCCGCATCGGGAGGGCCCGAAGCGCCGGCCGCCCCCGCGCCCCCGCCCATGCGGGGCGGCCACGGCGCGAGAGGAAGGCTAGGGAGAAGGGGGGAAAGGAAGGGGGGGCGGGGAGAAACGAGGTTTGTGAGGCAGAGCATGGTTGGGGCTCGCCGAAATCGGCGGGGCATAGGGCGGTGGCAACCACGCCCAGCTTTTTTTTTTTTTTTCCGCCGGCTTTTCGCTTCGCCACACCTTTTTTTGTTTATTTCCCTTGCCCCTTTTCTCTTCCGCCAACGACCCAGACGCCGCACACCACGTACTCCGGATAGCAGCGCGCCCCCGGCGCGGGCACCACGATTTCCCAGCCTCGCACGTCGCCCGGGTCCTTCGCGGCCCTGCGGAACACGCTGCTTTTCTCCGCGGATCGCCCGAGGTCGCGCGCGCCCATGCCGAGGTGGCCGGGGGTTGGGGGGGTGCATTTCTGCCGCGAGCGCTCGGGGTGTTTCCTTCCGTCCGCCTCCTCGACCGTCCCAAGCGAGGCGCGGAAAATCACACCCCAGCTGACCGTGGGCGCGCGGGGCTCGGCCCCGCCCCCGCCCACCCCCGCCTGTGGCGGCGCAAGTCGCAGCCGGCACTTCCTGCCGACAAAACCTTCGAGACAAAGCCGCCACGCCTCCTCCTCATCAGCGCAGGCGCGCCACGCAAAGCGCTCGTTCACCTCGCAATCGTCGCCGCAGGGGAGGAAGGGCCTGTGCCCCTTGAGCGCTGCGGGCATCGAAAAGAAGCCACCGCCACGCCTCTTTACCATTTCGCGGCGGCACTTCCAATATACCTCCCAGAGGTGCTGGTTACGGTTTAGGAACGCGCGGGCGTTTGGGGGTAAGTGCGGCGAAACGCGGTCATCCAAAACAAGTGAGACGGGGACGATGGGTTTAAGTGTTGCCCAGCTCGCCGGGTAAGCCACATCCTTGGTAAACAAATAATTGCGTTCATCACTGTTGTAGTTGGCCTCAAGAAATCGCCGCACGAAGGTTCGCGCGTCAAGTAGCGCCCAGCGTGGCTCCGCCTTTCCAATTAACCGGTCCGCGACTTCGCGATATACATCGGCGACCTCCTCGTCAGAGTATTTTCCACCGGTGGCAACTTGTTCCTCCCGTCCACTCGCCAAAATGGACTGCCGCGCCGCTGCAGTAGCGGCGGTTGACGCGCTGAGAAGGTATGGAAGCACTTCGGCATGCAGGCAGGCGCCGAAGTCAATGGCGTCGTCCAGCGGAGAAACGGCATCCCGTGCACGATCTCGCAGAGCGTTGGAAAAAAAGCCTAACGTCGTGTTTCCAAACTCATCATAGGTAAAATTAGATAAACATATGGCACCATGCAGCAACTGGCAGGAGTGGAGGTCTATTACGCATTGCAACGCATCATGCAACCATCGAACTCCAAGCCGCATGATTCTTTTTCGAACATCGTGCGTTGAGCCAAAACGCAATTGGGTTCCGCCTCGTGGAATGTGAAAGTAGATTTGCCGCATGGAATCATCAGCAAAAACATCAGTGACACATGTCACGCGATGGGTGGCACACAACTCGGGAACGCACAGTTCATGTTGCATAATAGTTTTAAATAGGAATTCAATGCGCATTTGCGCTTCTACCCCTTCCACTCTGGGAAACACATACCGCTTAAGCCAACACGGAGTAACGGTGCCATTAACAGAGTCCACATACTGCGCACGGAGCAAAGCAAATTGGACCTCGGAAACCTCACACTCACACTCCAAACGGACCTCGCCGTCAGCGGGTGAGCGAGAAGGGTCCATCGCATTCCGTGGCTCAACCTCAATATTCATGTAATTTATAAGCGTACGTTCTCGCTCGTATTTCACATATCGCGGCAGATGAAGCGCCTCATGAACAGCCTGTGCACAGGATGAAGGTAGCGTTTTAAGAACGCCGGCTTTTTCGGGGAGATGCATTGTGTAGATGTCATACAACTCTACTGTGGCAGCGTCCAACTCCCCAAACAAGTAATGCACAAGAAAAAGTTGTTTCATAAAATCGTCGTATCGGCCTTGAAGCGTCTCACGCTCCCCCACGGTGGCGGTCGTGAGTGACGACTGCAAATCATACATTTCATTCAACAGGAGGGTGGTGGTCTCCAGCTTCCTCCGGCGTCCCCTAAAAAATTCTTCACATGTTTTCCGCAGTTTGTCCTCCACGCCCCTGGCGTGTGCCCCAGCCAAGGCACAACTTGCTGTTAACCCGAGCGCCTTCACTTTCTCCATAAACGATGGATTGAGTGCTTCCTCATCGCTGGTATTGGTATGCTTCCAAGACTGTGTGCTGTCTTCCACTATATCTTGTAAGGCCTTCTGAATGTTTAACAGGGTATCGAGAGTTTGCCCTGTGCCTTCATAGGCACGTAGTTCCCCACCAGTCTCGTTGTTGTTGTCGCTAGTGTTGCTACTATTGCTGTTGCTACTGCCGCAACCGCCTGTGCTGCCCTGTTTGAAGAAACTCTTCGCTAGATTTTGAGCAGTTTTCCACAACTCAAGTGCCTCCATTAACTTGGAAGATATATATGGGGGAAAGCAGCGGGACACAATAGCCTCCCTTCGCTCCTCGCGCCTTAAAACTGCCTCTGCCTTGGTGCACCACTTCAGACCACGACAAGAGTACTCTTTGCACGCATTATGGCGTTCACCCACGACGAGTGGAATGTCATCAACCACATTGACAAACGTCTGTAGTCGGTTAAAAAGATATATATCTCGTTCAAGTTCCGACCACTCCTTTGTTTCCTTATAGAGTCGAACTAGGCCAGCAAATGTAATCGCTTCAGAGGCGAGTTGGTAACAACGGTGAATTGAGGCCAGCACGCGAGAGACGCCTCTTTGCTTGACGAAGGCGCTGGTGCCAAACATGGGTTTCTCACATCCCCCGACTTCTTCTTTGTCCATGGCCTCCCAGTCGACCTCGTCCAGCCTGTGAAGCTCTGGTGGGGTTCCCGCCTCCAACGCCAAAAGTCCATACTGCCTAAGATCTTCAGCCTCCATAGCCGAGTTACTCGCAGGACGAAAAAGCGAACGAAGAAAACCCACAATGGTACTCCGTTTTCTTCTCTTACTTCCAACGGATGTGTTTTGCGGCCCTGCAGCCCCTTCTCTTTGAAAAATGCCCCGACAGTCTTCGTGCCATCCCTGGCAGAACGCATAAATTTCGTAATCGTGGTTGAGCTGCGCCGCAAGCTCGCCATCACCACCCTTGTCCGGATGATGCAACAACATTAACGCCTTGAACACTTTTTTGCACTCCACGTACTCATTGAGAAACCCCCACTTACGCTGCAACTGAACAATCGCAAAGTGTTGAAAAGAAACGGGCATCATCGTAATATCTGCGGATGCACGGTAGTCATCGACATCGATCTGACTCTCCCAACCACATGCCACCCGGTAGTCTCGGTAATGCTGCACAATTCGACAGGTTTCAAATGATGAAAGATCATGCTGTGCCTCAAGCAAGTGTTCAAACCGTGTGCGAGATTTCTGCTCATTCCGTGAGTATCCATACTGAGCTTGCAGCTGTAGCCGAATAAAGATGCGATCCGCATAACGCGTGAGAAGTGTGCCAACACAAAGACCCATGGTCACCGAAAGCACCGTGGCAGTGACAACCTGTCCCGCTACAGGAATGGCGCTTAGTCCTATGAGAGTTCCTACGCCATGTCCAATAGCAATTCCAATGGCGGCTGTTCCCACCTCCTTCCCAATACGGAGCGCCACATCTGTCGCACTTGTGCGGTAACCCAACGTGTTGAGTTCTCCTCGCCAGTAATCATTGACGGCACGGAAGGATTCGTAGGCGATAAAGGAGACTGTCAGGAGCGGGTTAGCCACCGTGCTCGAAAGAAATAGCCCATCCGCGATGGTGACCCCTACTCGAGCTCCCGAGATGACCAGCCGCCTTTCCAGCGGCGTGAGTGAAATAAGAGGACCTTTTCGCGGGGTACGTGTTACCAGAGCCTGTGGTGACGTATCGCCTCGGAGCAGCGCCATTTGCACGGTTGCGTTGTCGTCTGTGCCCTCCGCTGCGGCATCATGTGTTGTTCCAGACATTGCTACTCTCAGCCGTGGCAGGGTTAAAAAAAAAACAACAACAACAACAAAGGAAGAAATAAGGTGGTCTGTCGCCTGCTCGTCCAAATAAATAAGTGTATGTGGCCCATGGAAGCTACAAAGAGTGCAGGCAGTAGGCCCTTTTCTGTGCCAGTGTGCATCAACCAAGTGGAATGGATTAGTCTCCCAAACCGCTCAAAAGGGAGAGAGGACGTTAAAGCCATCAGAAAAGCAAATCAAAAAATGAAATTAGGCAAATGCAGGCTAACACTCCCCCTCCCCCTTACAAAAAAAAAAAAAAAAACAAACAGACAACGACAACAAACAAACAAAA